GACGACTTCCGGGAAGCTACCGACCGATTACGCTACTGCCGCACGTAGCCAAACTTTTTGAACGGTTGCTGCTGCGGAGAATAGTTCCCTGCATCGAGCTACGCAGGGAACAGTTCGGTTTCCGCAGCGGCCATTCCACCACGGCGCAGCTGGCCCGAGTGCTGCACTATCTTGCGGCTCAGTACAACCGGGGCCGCATCTGTCTGGGGGTCCTTCTCGACATGGAGAAGGCCTTCGACAGAGTGTGGCACGAAGGCCTGCTACATAAGCTGCTGGAAAATACCACCACCCACCGTGCGCTCGTGCGGTTAGTAGCGTCGTTTCTCCGGGACCGGAAGTTCGTCGTACACGTCGAGGGAGCCGACTCGGCGGTACGATGCATCAAAGCCGGTGTACCACAAGGTAGTTGTCTGTCGCCACACCTGTATGCGGTGTACACGGACGACATTCCCACCTTGGAGCAAAACGCCTCCGACTGGGATGAAGACGTACTGTTGGCCCTGTACGCGGACGACAGTGCGTTCTTCACGTCTTCACACAACGCGGCGTTTGCGGCGAGGAAGATGCAGCGCCAATTGGACCTGCTGCCCGAGTGGTTGGATAGGTGGCGGATGTCTGTCAATGTTGACAAAACGTCCGCTATCTTCATCCGCCACATCAAACACCAACCCACGCTTGAGCTGCGAGGTCAAGCGATAACGAACCAGGACACCATCAGGTATCTTGGGTGCCGGATAGACCGCTCGCTGAGTATGGCGCCCCAAGTCGAACACTCTGTTCGACAAGCCAGGGCAGCTCGAGCGGTCCTTTACCCAATCCTGGCATCCAAGCTACCTGTTAAGACGAAACTGGGCGTCTATAAAACCTACATCCGTTCGCGCTTGACCTACGCCGCTCCGGCGTGGTATGCACTGGTTTTCCGCCTCGCAGAGGCGCAGGCTCCAGGCGCAGCAGAACCTCGCCCTTCGAGCAATCGTGGGAGCCGGGCGTTACGTCAGGAATGACGTAATCGCCAGAGACCTGAAGATCGTGTCCATCGAGGAGTTTGTGGTCCGGTTGGCCCGTCGCTTGTACGACAGGGCTGACAACGGACCACACCCACACCTGGAGAATATTGCTCCACTCCACGCCCGTCCTCCTGACGGACGTCCGCTCCCACGAGAGCTACTGCGGTCGGAACAGGCCATTGGGGGGCCGGACCCGACCGCACTTCCGCCGCTGTGTCGAAGACGATGTCGTCCTCGCGTTACACACCGCGTGTAACGCCGTACACCCGCAAGTGCCGCTACCGCGGTCAGGGATAGGGATGGCCGATGGCCATCCTCACCACCGACCAGCCATTCGCTGGTCGAGATACATGCCCGAGTAATGGGGACAGGGCCCCCGAGACTCGTTTAAAGCAGGCCTCGCGCCAGCTTCGTACATCATCAAGTACCAAGACCGCACAGAAGACCGGCGTGAAGCGGAAGTGTTATACTTCTGCATTTCGTCTGGTGAGTGAGGTAGCTAGCCGGAGCACATTTTATCAAAAGGTGGCAACTCATCGGCAACCCTACAAATGACAATGGACGGCGGTTGTCACTTAACATCAGCTAGTTTACCACCTTTTTACATTACATAAAATATACGTTGCTATAAAATATATCATCATCATCATCATCATTTCAGCCTGTTTGAGTCCACTGCTGAACATAGGCCTCCCCCATAGACTGCCACGAAGTACGATCCTGAGCCACCTGCATCCATCGACTTCCCGCACATTTGCACAGGTCGTCACTCCATCTAGTGGGGGGTCGTCCTACACTGCGATGGCCAGTACGCGGCTGCCACTCGAGAACCTTTCTTCCCCACGTATATATACATATTATATTTTGTAGCAATTAGTAATAGGCTTATATTCTCGTTATAAATTTCTCCATATTGCCCAAACATTGCCCGTGATCAAAGTCGAACCGGGACTGCTGTTGTTTTAATTCTTTTGTTTCTATATTTGCTTCGGTGTAACCTTGGTGGGGGTTAAGCAAATATATAAATGATCCACAATTTGGCAACCACGTACTGTTACGAACCTTGTTAACATTTTTTTTAATTCAATATAATTTCAGCGCTCATAAACAGCCATTGTTACTTTGAATGAACGATCCAATAAAAAATAAAGTGTACTGAAATAACACTCGCGCATCTACGTAGATCACAAACCAAAGACAGCAAAACGTAGTCTTAGTTTAACTGTGGCCGATTTTATTTATTTTTTAAATCTTTACTATCACACACACACAAATTTAAGGTATCATCTTAATATAAAGATAATAACTTTTAAGGATGACTCCGTCGCGCAGTAGCAAGGTATTGGCTTCGGCGGCTATTTTTGTGACCCACAGATTTGTTTCGCATCTGGGTGTTTGTCCGCGTGAAATTTCCGTTTGTAAAATGTCCTTACAACACCGGATAATGTTATACTAAAGTAAGGGCAATTTTTGAAAAAAAAAAATATTCGAGCAACCTGAGTTCAAATCCCAGTGCCAACACCAATGAAAATGTTAAAATGTTAATTCAAAAAAAGCTAGCTTTTTTTTTTCAATGGTTGACTGGCAGAGAATGCCATTAGGCATGAAGTCCACCCATAGTAGCCCTTAGCTTAAGGTGTAGCACTGAAGCTTAAATAGATAAATAAATAATGTATACTAACAATATAATAATAACAATAAAATAAAAAATTAAATATGCTATTACGCTTATATGTAAACTGACAGGATTCCAGCAACTTCGACGGTTTTGCCAATTTCCATGGCCGAAGATTATCTTTACCACCGGCTTTATATCTCCAGTTGTGATCATCAACTGAATCATTTTCTTTATTAACGTGTAGATATTTAAGCTCACGAAATATAACTCTTGATTTGAAGTGTTTATCAAACATTGAATAAAGCAGTCGGTAATATTATTTTTCTGCGAATTTTCCTCATTTTACATTTCATTTCATTCATCTGCAACCATAGTTCTAATATAACTCAACATAATATCCTACTTTGCAAGTTACGTATTTCCATACAGTTAATAGAAACTTATAATGTTAACATTTTTAAAATAATACTTTCACAGAGTGGCGTCAATTTTTATAATTTAAAAGAATTTTATGGCATTATCTTTCTTTATTAAAACAACACACGAATTCGATTTTCTCCTTAAGAGTTATTAGTTGTTATTAAGTTGGAGCCACAAATCGAACCCGTAGCAATCTAATTTCGAGTCCAACCCCTAACCTTGTTAGGTTTTTTTTTCCATTAGCAGCTGATTGAACGCACGCTTGTGTATTAAATCTCAATTAGACCGCACCATCACTCTTCCGGGACATGTGACGTTCGAAATCATGCCGAACACACGGTCATGAAGAATGTGCAAATATCGATTAGTTAATCGATTTGCACATTCTAACATTTCAAGAATAGTTTTTATGCTTCAATTTGACATATTTTATATTAAATATACGAAATCCTGAAAGTATAATGCAGATTTATTCATTCTCTGATGGCAAATACATAATTGATCATACATAAATACCAAAAAAAAATTATAACGGTTATTTACTAGTTGTAATGGTAAGCCAGTCATGATATGATAACATCAACTTAATTTTTTTTCCAAAATTAGCTCGTCAGGCCAATGATAAATAATTCTAAACTTCCGAAAATATAAATAACAAGCGACGAAATCCTTAAAATAGATTCATTAAAGTTTGTTCAGTATTCGCACCATCAAAAGAAAGGGTTCTAGGGATCCGCACCCAACGGGACCCTATTTCTAAGACCGCCGCTGTCCGTCTGTCAGTCTTTTTTTTTTTTATTAACGTGGGGGAAATGCCTAACGCATACCCACCCTCGCGGGGGCGAGAGTGGGCTATGTCGGACTCGCACCGACTAAAACCCCCACGATGTTACACCTAGGCGCATATCGGCAGGGCCACGGGAACGCTTCCGCACACTTCCGCGACTCTGCCAGCGCTGGCCGCCAAAGCAGCCCCCTCACGGGGAGCAACTCCCCTCTCCTCCAGGTAAGGCGCGTTGGAACATTCAGCGCGCCTTCCTACTCGGCCCCATTTTCACGGCCAACGAACTCCCCCGAGTTCGCTGACCGGGGCCATGGGAGCCAGGAGAGCCAGTGCTAATAAGCAGCAAGCCTCCCAGCCCCCAGTGGCGGACCTGGTCTGTGGCTCCGCCGCTCACCACGTTTCGGCCGCGGAGGGTAGGGAGAACGGCGCATCGTAATACCGACACTCCTCTCCCCCCGCGGCCCCACCACCACTGCATCAGCGGTGCAGCCCCGCCGAGTCGCGGAGGATAGGGAGCACGGCCAACGCAATACCGACACTCCTCTTCCCCCGCGACTCCTCCTCGGTAGCAGAAGACAGGGAGAGTGGCTCCACCTCTACCACCCTCGACCTGTCCCCTGCACCCTCCAGCACGCATCCAGAGTGGGCTCAATGAGCCCACTCGGAGCAACCCTCTCGGGCCGGCCTTACACCACAGGCCGGCCCAGTGTGGGTTCCTCTTAGCTTCGCCGTGGGTGACCAAGCCACGGCTACTAAGCCCCTCCGCCACGTCAAGGCGGGAACCCGGTCGGAGGGGGTCCGTATGTCAGTCTAGAAATATTACAAACAGTTAGACAGGTGAAATTTTCGCAAATGATGTTTTTATAGATAATGGTACGGAACACTTCGTGCACGTGTCTGACTCGCACTTTTCCGGTTTACATTAAGATTAATGTAAAATTTATATTAAGAATAATGTTTCTTTGTACTTTTTATTCCACAAATGAATCACTGTCACAAGTTTTCCACAATCTTGGCAGCAGTGTGCTCCGGCTACGAAAACGCTACGCTTCGTAGCAGCCCCGTTGATTGATAGCGGTGCCCAACGGCTTGACAAATACCCCGCTTCCTGACTAACTGTGTGCCGACACTTACTTTTCACAGCTCGTTTCGTTTTAAGAAATAAACGCATATGGTTTTCATCTATTTAAATGGCGAACTGACGACTGTACTTTTAGGTTAGGTAAATTCAGATGCTGCTTACTATCAGTTAGCGCTGAAATGTTTAATCGCCTACAATTTCCTGAATAAATTTAACTAGGTACAAATTTATGGTATGAATATTAGGCACGAATTTCAACTGTAAGGTACCTTATAATATATAACACTATGTTATTTAAAAATGTTAAATAAGCGCTTGTTATTTGTTAAAACATTTTCGATAAAAAATTGTATTTATTGGTACAAGTTACTTGTCAATCAATTCTTCTTCACCGTTTCCTACCTACTTCAAAATAACAAACGTTTCATGTCAGACCTATCCCATGAGATTGCAATATCGGAGCGGAAACTTTGTACTAAAAAAATTTATTTAGGATCAGTACGCCTTGATGAAATAATCCCTGGATATTGCAAACACAACCAAACTGTGTGTTGTAAGAGAAACTATTCATCCACCTTCTCCATCTGTTGCAGACGAGGAGCTGGTGTTTCGCGATCGCTGGGGTGGCCTGACGCTTTTCAATGTCCGCAACTTCACCACCAGGCTGCTGATGAACAATTCCACTTTCGTAAGTACACCCATGAGGTACCACCGAGGTTATGGTGGACGAGTGATGTTAAGTGAATACCGTCGCCCATGGACATCTGCCACACCCGAGGGTTACAGATGCGTTGACAACCTTTTGAAAATTGGGCTCCGGCTACCTCACTCACCAGACGAACCGCGAAAGTATTTGTCATACTTTCACTTTACGCTGGTCTTCTGTGAGGTCGTGATACTTACCTGGACGGGCCTGCCCATTAGTGCAACAGCCTGTGAAGTCGTGGTGCTTACCCGGACGGGCCTGCCCATTCATGCAACAGCCGAGGCTGCTGCGTGACCCTACTACCGTAAAGAAGGGTTGAAGAAAGGCAGGCGGCCAGTCGTGAGAAACCTATCACAATCTACTTACAACATTATTCACATGTTGTGCCAACCGCACCAAGGTGGGATGAGGCCAGGAGGTGATCTTGTGATGATGACATTAATGTTGATAGGAAATTCATCTTTCTCATGACCCAACACACCTAGGTGGGGTCAGATATTGGTTAGGTTATCAAATTCAAATTCAAAATATCCTTTATCGTTCTTATGAAACGACGAATTTGACATAAAAAATGATACCATAAGTTCGTAAGTAAGTTACCACACCGGTTCGAATAGCAGTTTCTGTTGAAAAGAGACCGGCAAGAAACACAGCAACTTTTTACATATTCAGCCACCTATCTAATATCATCCCTCGTTAGACACAATCACCCAGGTCCGAAACAATTATCTTGGGTGACAAAACAACTTGCCCCATGTGGTAGTCCAATCTTGACCACATTGAAACGTAATCACTTGATAAAAAACCCATGTGATCGGACAATGAATATCGGGAAAGTTTAAAACAATGTTACGTGGAAGTAATAAGACTTTTCCATTATTCTATCAATAAGCAAACAAAATATGTCTCCAGGGACAAAAGCGACGGGCAATATCTTCGAACGATAACATCAATTCAAGTTCCATATGCGAAAGCCATCCATATGTTGCTCCGAAAATACATTGTATTCTCGCAGGTCACGGAAATATCAGGAAGAGTTCGAACCTACGAGCGTGCCGTGACGTGACTAAGTCGCCACGTGTCACACCGTTAAACATATTATTAATTAAAAACTAAATCTTGCCCTACGTTATTAAATTAAACAATTATACGGGTTTGAATTTTGATTTTTAATTTCCTACGTTGTCTGTCCCATGCATCTGTGATCATGAACTCTGCTAAGTGTTTGAAACGTCGGGAATTGAAAACCAAAATTAAAACGCGCCAAAATCCGTAAAATACTTCTAATATTTTGTGTATTATATTCACGTAAAAGGGAGAAATCAATACTTATACGTTAATTACGTAGAAAATTCGCGGCCAGATGCTTTATCCATTAAGCTAAACGGCTGATTGCCATACCGACGTATTTTATCTAAATTGTATTTTTTTAGCATTTTATGAAATGTTTGATACATCTATTGTTGCATCATTATATCCTTTACAGCATACAAACGATGTTAAATATCGGATAATAAAGGATAAGCCTATCTTAATCTCATATAATTCAGATCGAACTTTTTTAAACAATGCCCCCTGTACAAAAACATCATCCCGTGTTGTAAGGACGTTTGCATACATAAATGTCACGGGGACAAACACCCAGATGCGAATCAATTAACTTTGAGTCACACAAAATGTTGTTCCAGACTTTTACAATAATGAATTGCGAAACATAACAGATAATCTACAGTAGCGATACATATAATACAATAAGAAATAAATATTTAGCTACGGTGTAACATGAGGTCGCTTGAAAGCTTTGTCGAATACAGGGCGAGAGTTTTATCGCGATTTATCGTCTGCAAATAACTCGGGCGTGGGTTACGCAGCGGAGGGAGCCGATACGATCGCACCGAAGACACATTTAGTAGGCGTTCATTCCGACGGAGAAACGTTTGGTAATATATTCGTATAGTACACACATAAACACGTGCAAACGTAAACGGTATTCATTCAACAAAAGCACATAATGTAATTATCGTATACTATATAAATATTTGTAATCGTTACTCTGTGCTCTCCGCAATCTACCCACAAGCTGTCTTCTCTCAAATATTTATGGATCCAACATAGTCAGTCAACTTCGATTCAAGAATGATCCAACTGCGTCACAAAGACTTGTGCGTTTCATATGGTGACCTTTTTTTTTTTGTTTTTTTTGTTAAAAATTATTATACACATAGATTTCGCTAGTAGGTTATAGTGATGGGCTATTAACTTGGAATTCTCGAGCAAAGTGAGTGCCAACAAGCTATCGTGGCTCAATATTTCAATTAGTTGAAGATATTCCCGGCACGGTCCCTCGTTATAGCCAACATTAGGGTCTAAATACTGACTAACGATCTCACGTTTAACGAGAGAGCCGCAAACTCATTGAAAGCAAGCTTTCTTGTTTTCCATTCCATTTATTAATAATAACCATAATGGTGACAGATTGCTCGGCGCAATCAGCTTACATGAATTGCATTGAGCTTATTTAGTTTGGTTGGAGGGTGTAAGGCTAGTCTTCCTCTAGCCTCACACCATAGAAAGATCTGGATGGACTGTGTGAAGAATGATATGTCTGTGGAATGGGTGAGTATTGAGATGACGGCTGATAGAGGAAAGTGAAAGGAATGTGTGCCGACTCCACCTAGTGTAGGATAAGATCATCATTTTTTCATCATTTCAGCCTGTAGGCGTCCACTGCTGCCCATAGGCCTCCTCTAGGGATTTCCACTTCGATCGGTTTGAAGCAGCCTGCATCCAGCGAAGTCCCGCGACAGCCAATTTGAAGTCCAAAAATTGAATCATTTGACAGTAGAATATTATTCTACTGTCAAATGATTCAATTTAGTAGTAGAATATTGTTGAAAAACTTTAATTTTCATTTGCGCGACAATAACCCTGTAGTGAAAACAGTTTTTTTACAGAGATCAAATGTTAGAAAATATCTAATTAACAATTGATATCGAATTTTTAACGTCACAGTATTTATTAGCAAAACACGGGACATATTGCTAAAGTTTCACAAAAATAAACGTCGCACGGTCAATCAAGGGTCAAACTTCAAGACCTGGCCTAAGGTAGAACAGCAAGGTGCTGGTAACGAGCCTCAAATCCAATATTCAGTAGATTTTGGTCCAAAGCATAAAACTGTCCGGAAACATATAACGTTACGTGGGATAACAAAAACTTACCCGATGCACCTATTGCTCATAACATAGCAAATTATGTTTTCGAACATTGCGGGCTTTTCCGTGGGACAATGCCAAAAACGACCAGAAATTACATAACTTACAAAGAAAAGCCATATTTACGAAAGCCCACCTTGTTTTCCTACTCGCGACAAAATATTCCATTCGTGACAAAAATGTTATCAAATATTTATATCTAGTATCTAGTAACGAACTGTGGCAAACATCATCCTGAAGTTTGGGAAAGTAAAACTCATCCCAAAACCAATATGTCGTCGAACACCAGCGGACGTATCACGATGAGCGATCACTTCGTCATTCGTAAAAAACGAATTGTTTCACGTTTTTTAGGGTTTCACGCCCAAAGGGTAAAACGGTACCCTATTACTAAGACTGTCTGTCTGTCTGTATATGCGTCTGTCACCAGGCTGTATCTCATGAACCGTGATAGTTAGACAGTTGATAATTTCACAGATGATATATTTCTATTGCCGCTATAACAACAAATAAAAAAAAAAACAATAAAAAATATTTAAGTGAGGCTCCCATACAACAGACTTGATATTTTCGCCGCTTTTATAGATAATGGTACGGAACCCTTCATGCGCGAGTACGACTCGCACTTGGTCGGTTTTTTACCACCGATACCTCTTTACCCTGACCCCTTCTCGCTGTATATTGTATTTCGTTACACACCCCCTCCCCCCTTATAGTAGGGGGCTGATAGGAGGGCGCCAAGTTTGACAGACGTGGATAAATTGCGCCATTTGTCAGCAATGCGAGTGATGCATTGCACATTCTAACGCGTACACCGAATTTATTTGATAACTTCCGAAAGAGCCCAATTGAAACAAACTGCCCTGTGAAAAATGCATTCTGAATTATATGATAAATCTTGTATTTAGTTATTTGATTTATTACAGTTGAAAATGTTTTTTTGAAATATGTGTTTGCCAAATAAAAGTTTGTGCTCTCGCTAAGTTTTGAAGTTTCGATATGTTCGCCTTTGTAAACGGTTTAATAGTGAAGAAGGATGATTGTGAGGAATTGGCCTACCTTTTCATGTGATAGTTTCATTAAAATTATTTCGTAAAAACACGGTAAGTATATTTTTAGTATATAGGTCAAATATAGTGTATTATATAGTGTATAGTGTATAGTGTGTAGTATATAGTGTATAGGTCAAAATAGGGTTTTTAATTACATATTTGGTGAAACATGCGGTTTCTTGTTTTCTCAATTAGCAAACAGTGAAAGCACGAAGAATTTCTTTAGATCTTATTTCTTATTTATATCTTATGCAACTTTTCATAGAATTTCATAATTTCGTGAATCCTAAAACAACACGCGATACAATGTAATTATAATGCTATGAAATATGATCTAGACTGGCCGTTGCCTACAGTTTTTCATTTTATGGCTAAGAAGAAGAGAAGGGGAGTAGAATTCTTAGTAACTATATTATTAGCTATGTTAGTAATATGTTTCTGTACTGCCAGTGGGTTAAAACCAAATATAAAAAGCAATTTCCACAGAAAATTATTAGATACTTGTTGATGCAGATGCATCACCCATAATGTAACGTATAATTTGAGAATTAGTATTTTTTGAATTTGTTTTTATAAAACGGTCTTAAACCATGGTTAACATTATTCTTTGTGTTATAAGTTAAGAGTAAATGAAATGAAAGACAAGACTATACATTCTTTTTTACAAATTTCCGTAATTTCAATGAAAATAAAATATAATATACATGTTTGTATTATATGGAATGAATATAGAATAACTATGTTTTTCTTCGAACCGTAATATCTTATGTCCGAGTGCTCGCCTTTAATTCAATATACTCGAGCAACCTGAGTTCGATCCCCGGTACCGGCACTTGTTAATTTTAAGTGCTGACTTATCACTCAGCGAGGAAGGAAAACATCGTGAGGAAACCTGCATATTTTCGAAATAAAAAAAATCTTCCAAGATATGTTAAGACCGCCAATCCGCAGTGGGACCGCATGGTAGACTATGCCCTGATACCCCCAGCACAGAGAAGGCCTTTGCCCAAGAGTGGGACATGTACGGGCTGTTGCTTTATTTCTTTTCTTATGTTTGTCTTCCAGAGGGAACTAAATGCGGTGGACTTCAAAGTATCTGCAGACCTAAAGTTCGTTCTACTCATTTCGGACGTTAGGCCTGGCTGGCGACACGCTCGGCTGGCACGCTACCATGTTTATGACGTCATCACCAGGTACGCAATGTGAATTGAAATATACATCTAGATTAATTATCATTACAAGTTTTCCCAAGCTATGTTCCCATCACAAGTTTCTATGACAACTTACTGGGGAAACTCGGCAACAAATTGTATCAAAGATAATAGAAATAAATGACTTTATTTTATTTAAGGTAAATATAAGGCTTAGGCAATATGTTAGTCTGAAACTAGCAAAATAATCAGTAATATTTACTGATCATTTTGAATATTGAGATTTAGTATAAAAGAAAATTAATTTGGAAAAGAAAGAACAGGTCGGTAGAATCATTTTACCTCGATTGATGATTCGTTTGCTGTATGAAGTGTAAGGCTGAAAAGTCATGTTCAAGGTTGCTTTACACAAGGTGGTAACTTAACAGCGGTAGGCAACAATTCCCTGTTACTTGAATGGGCAGGTCCATCCGGGAAAGTACCACGACCTCGCAGAAAACCGGCGTGAAGTGGAAGTATAATACTTTCGCGTTTCGTCTGGTGAGTGAGGTAGCCGGAGCCCAATTTTCAAAAGGTTATCAACGCACCTGCAACCGGCAACCCTCGGGTGTAGCGGATGACAACTTTATTAGAAGGTGGCGCTTTTAAATAATTTTAATATAAATATTTTATCCTCGGTAGTAATTAATTCTATTCGGTGTACAGGAACAAAATCCCGATATCGCCCGTGGAGGACGACCGCTCGGCACCGTTGCTGCAATACGCAGAATGGTCACCATCTGGCGCCAGCTTGGTGTTCGTCCACAACAACGACATATACTATAAGCCGCGCATCCTCAAAACCCTCGTCTGCAGGATCACCAACACAGGTTCGGCGAGCTTCACCAATCAGCATGACCGAGTTGCATCGCATAATTAGTCAATAGTTGAATTAAGTGGTCTGCCATGATGCGCGATCATTGAACTTTAACGTTCAAAAGCTTGCAAATTTGTTCAGATTTTCTCTCCAACTTTTCTCAACGTGCCTCTTTTTTGACTACTGAATAGTTTTCGTAGTGGCAAGTGAGGTAGACCACCTATGGGCGTGCACACCTCCACAGATGTTGCGACTCGCCAACCACTTAGAGTGTAATTGTGTGGTCACTAGGATAAAAGACTGTGTGGGGACTTCCGCAATGTGCAGTGCAACCTTTAACAGTTTAGATTATTAACTGTTATTGCAGAAACTTTTAAATTATATTACCAATCACCCTTTACACAAATCGAGCATAAGCATCAAATACATGATAAAGCACGATTACAACAATAGTTAATTGGTTCAGGCATCCCGGGGGTCATCTTCAACGGCGTACCGGACTTTCTATACGAGACCGAAGTCCTGCGTTTGGATAGGGCGCTATGGTTCAGCCCCGACGGCCAGACCCTGATGTACGTCACGTACAACGACAGCCTGGTACAGCAGCACAAGTATCCCTGGTACGGGCTGGACCAGCAGGAGCCGCCCGCATACCCCTCCATCAAAACATTGAGATACCCAAAGGTAAGTAGCTAAGAATTTTAAATTGATAACAGTATAATAAGACATTCTACACGCCATAAAGAGCACTATCTATATTTCTATCCTCTCCGAAATGCCCAGAGAGTACAAGGGATGTGCAAAATTTGATTTTAATAATCATAAACAAACCATACAGCTATATTTATCTTTATTTATCTTCATTCGTAATTATCTGTATGTCCTGAACATTTAAACATAAGGGGAGTTAAAGACAAAGTAAAATGTGTATAGTAGTAATGATATTTGACACGCACATACTTTTCTTAAAAAGTAGCGGTGGGTACATATTGAGCTTTGACATAGCGGATTCGGATTCGATTATAGCAGGCAACAAATATTCTCATGACTTTTATTATGTTACGGACAGTAGTATCCCGTGATGACTCCCATCGTTCTTAACTATTTGCAAACGAAACTCGATAAACGTACCTTTAATTAAATTGCTGTATTTGCGTACCTAAATCAATTTAACACTGTGGTAGGGCAACGCAACAGTCTTCTCTGTTGCACGAATGAGTGGTACTTGCCACGACCTCACAGAAGACCGGCGTAAATTCGGGGTCCACTTAATTAAAAGGTAACAACGCCTCTGCAACCCTATGGGTGTTGCAAATGTCCATGGGCGGCAGTTATCACTTAACAACAGGTGAACCGCCAGTTCGTTTGCCATCTTCTCACATAAAAATGTCAGAAAACACGACGAGTTAGCGTCAGGTTCGTTATAAAGGAAGTTCATGAATTTATTTAAATATCAATGTGTTACATTTCGAGTTTTTAAGTACATGCTTTTTGCATTACAGGTTAACACGAACAACCCTGTGGTGACGGTGTACGTGGTCAGCCTCAAGACACCAAAGTTCCTCTTCCCACATGCGATACAGTTCACATCACAAGTTGATAAAAGTAACACAAATATATACTAACATTATTTATACTATTTCAACATTGCTTAAACTACTATTCTTCTAAGTATCATGCTTCTTCATTTAATATTAATTATTGAATATTTATCCCACATTTAATTTTGATACAATGAAAATTAATTTGTAGCCCAATCTCTTCAAATAATATTCGCTGTGTCTGAGAAACTTTTTTGTATATTCCAAAAATGTTTGTTGAAATCATTTAATTCACATATAAAAATGCCTTCTACGTAATCTTCCTTGATGTATGAAATTTTCTCTTTTAGTCTTAAGGGCTGTAAAGGTACATCAGATACAGGGCCTTTAAAAATGTCTATATATTAATACAATTTTTATATGCACAAAAAATTTTGTAATGTATAAATTCTGTAATTTTGTCTGCTATTTCAATTACTACGATACCAACATTGTCAGAAACTTTTCCTTCGCAGGTTGGTACGTACGCTGGACGAGTTGGCTGACAGAGAAGCAAATCGGGGTCCTGTTGCTCAATCGTCCGCAAAACGTGTCGATCATCAGCATCTGCAACGCGGTACACTACAACTGCCAGGACGTAAGAATTATTATCAAATTCGATCACGTTAAAATGTGTAGAAAAAATACAAGAGTTTTACGCCGCTGTGGCAATTGAATCCACGTCTTCGGTTTTTCTTTTCTACTCGTCTTAATGTTTCATCTTAAGTGCAGAGATTAGCACTTTAAAATTTTAAAAATCTCAGGATATCACCGGATTGCCAAACAAACGATCCTATTTCAAGTGTATAGCTGACAATTCTCCAAAACAGTATAACAGTTCTGTGTCATCAATGATATTATAGATAAATACGAGATACATATGACACTGAAACGGAGGCACTCAAATTACGCCAATTGGTGTACTTATATTGCAACTCTATAGATTGTTATCTCTTTCCGTATCATACGTTCTATATCATCCGTCACGGTCACTTGTGTACGTATAGCGAAACATTGTGTGTCGTTATTAGAACATCATTGTGTGTTATTAATAAGGGTCACGCACACACCGGCGTCTTATACATTGCCCTGGGCGTCGGGAAATCGAACCTGAGCATTGCCTCAGGGGGCACACCTACCCCCCAAGTACTTCGTTCCTTACAACGTTGCTAATAAGGGCCATCGATATCCGTACAGATATTCCGCGACGAGACAGACGGCACCAGGTGGTCTGGCCTGGGTGGAGACCCCGACGAGGAATGTGGCTGGTGCGGCGGTGGAGCCCTGGTGGGGGGTGCGGCGGGCGTGTTCACGTCGGCCCCCATCACTGATCAGGGCGGCGTGTGGAGGCACGCCGTTCAACTCACGACCGAGACCAGGATAACCCTGACTCAGGGCAACTTTGAAATCACCCAGCTGGTCGGCTGGGATGAGAGGAGGAGATTTCTGTGAGTGTTTTTTTGTGTGAGAAGGTGGCAAGCGAGCTGGCGGTTCACCTGATGTTGAGTGATAACCGCCGCCCATGGACATTTGCAACACCCGTAGGATGGCAGATGCGTTGCCACCTTTTAATAAAGTGGGCCCCGGCTACCACACTCATCAGACGAAACGCAGAAGTATGACACTTTCACTTCACGCTGGTCTTCTGTGAGTTCGTGGTACTTAACCGGACGGACCTGCCCATTCCCGCAGCAGCCGAAGCTAATCACAAAATATTATACTAAATGTTAACTAGATCTTTGAGGATTTCCGTATTTACATAAATAATTTTTGATTAACATAACTCTAGTCTTAATGTTACTAGTATGATATATAGGGTCTTAGTTTAAAAGGGCTCACGACTTCAATTTGACCCTGTACATATAAGAATTGCTCGTTTAAAGGTATTAAATAGCACTGTTCAATTCCAAACTTCGCTCGTCCTAGATACGTGATGGCCACGGCGCCCGAGCGGGCGGGCGAGCGCCACGTGTACGTGGTGCCGGTGCCAGCGGACGGCAGCTGGCCGCCCCCGCCCCACTGCCTCACCTGCGGGGGCGCAGCGCCCGCCCCCGAACCCTCGGAAGGACACTCGGAGCCCGCCACGGAGGAGCTGGTGGGTGTCACCCATACTAGGGATGAGGATGTATCGATATATCGATACGTCGATGTTTATAAGAATATCAATATCGGCCAAGATACATCGATATATTCTTTTTAGTAGTAGTTTTAGTATTTGTTGTCCAAAAAAAACGTGTGCCAAGTATTGATTATATTTGATTGTGCGAACTCTGTCCCGGATTCGAATTTTGATTTCGATATTGAATGTTTATATCGATATATCGGATCCAAATATATCGATACATAAAAAAAATATATATTTTTTTATTAAATAATAAAAAGTATCCATCGATATTTTTTCGATGATAATTAATAAATATTTAAACAAAAACATAATGAATGATCTTCTTAATGATCAGAATAATCAATTCAAAGAGTTAAACCATCTTTTTGGCAACTCAAATGACATTTGAAAATCCATTTCACAGCTGATTAGTTCATTTCTACCATTTCATTTCATTTCATTTCAGTATATACTAAAGTACTCTGTGATTTCTACGATGATGAATATTACGGAAACCGCGCATTAGTCTTAGGAAGACACATATTGTAGATAACACGCCAAAAGTTCTAAGCGTATATACAATTCTATAACATTCATAAGTCAGTATTTTACTTACTTAATGTCTTTATATTAATCGCATAGTACCAATTGATTTTGTTTTTTCTTTAAAGGAATACGAGAACTCTACGTCGTCTCTACCAGCGTGGCCCACGTCCACAGTTCTGCCACATGTTTCTCACGAGAACGACTCCCTACCAACAGTTTGCCTCTACAACAGAGTTATGTTCAGCAAAAACTTCTCCTATTATGTTCAGGTGGGCACAGAAGTTTTTATTAATAGATCATGGAATGCACTACGTTTATGCATTTATTACGTAGAATAGGTACAGAAGGAAACAAATAAAAACTTTCACTTACTAAACATAATTAGAACACAAACATAGTTTTTGTTGCAATGTCACCTAACTTAATATGAAGTCAGGACACCCATGTAAATATTTTTAATTTAGTATTCGTTGCTATAGCGGCAACAGAAATACATCATCTGCGAAAATTTCAACTGTCTAACTATCAGGGTTCTTGAAATACAGCCTGGTGACAGACAGACAGCGGCGTGTTACTAATAGGGTGCCGTTTTCCCCTTTGGGTGCGGAGCCCTAAAAGACCGATTCGCCGACCGCTCCCCAGGAGTGCCTGGGCCCAGGGCCTCCGGCGACGTTCCTGTGCTCCGCCAACGGCGCGCGCCGCTCCGTGCTCTGGGACGGGCAGCCGCTGAGGCAGCTGTTCGCCGGACTCGCCATACCGCAGTCCAAGGTCTTCAGAGTCGAGGCAAGTTGGCAAATCTTTATAAAATCCCCTGGGAAATGTACTACTACCGCAACTTAAACACGCATCATTCATCTATGTTGGACAATATCAGACCATCACAAAATGTTTTAGTCTTTATAAAAGTGGATCATGATTGCGCGTATAGGTGTGTACCTTTACGATTTTAATAATTAAAAACAAATATACATAAATAAATTTGAAACTAAATCGCTTATTGAGAGTTAAGGTCGCGGAGTGAAAATCGTGTCTACTAAAATGTGGGTACATAAATTTTCTTTTCGGTATTTGTAAATCGAGCTAACCTTTAAGTTGCGAGTAGAAGCTGAATTTCTTTTTAAACCTTATTATTATATAAATATTATTTAACACAGATTAAATCACTATTGTCATCGTAATTAAATCTGATATTACCAAACTAAAAACCATCCGATTCCGAGGACCTGCTAAAAGGAAAGTTAGCAAAAATGGTGACTCTGAAAAAGGTTCGAAACGTCGGGAATTAAAACCAAAAATAGACGCGATAAAGTCAAAGACCATTTAGTAATGTGTAATCGCGTAAATGCAAGAAAATAAAATGTTCTAATACTAAAATATAGGAATAACCAATTACTTTAACGAAATCTAAACGAAGTCTAAGTTAGGCGTCTTCAAGGCAAGAGTGAATATGCTTTTACTGAGCTAGCGCGCTTACCATCCACTGCATCACCACTTGCCATCAGGTGGGATGGCTGTCAAGTGCTGGCCAGTTTTGAATTAAAAAAAATAAACATAACGAATTTATTTTGTCTCCAGGTGCAAGCGCATCGTGAGGCGCGCGTGCGTCTGCTACTCCCGCCGGGCTTAAGAGAAACGGATGACCTGCCTCTACCGCTGGTCTTGCATGTGTGAGTGGAATTCAAATAAAATTCAAAATCAAATTCAAATATCTTTATTGAACATAGGAGCTTACACTCACACATTGACAGTCAAAATACTACCATCGATCGGTTCGGAAAAAAAACCCACTGTCCATTTGTCCATTATTTAATCGCGGCCCCACTGCGGGTTGGCGGACTTCACATATCTTCGAAATATATATTTTTTTTGTTATTATTTGGAAAATATGCATGTTTCCTCACGATGTTTTCCTTCACCGCGGAGCACGTGATAGGTCAGCACTTAAAGTTAAAAACTTCATTGGTGCCGGCACCGCGGATCGAACTCAGGTTGCTCGAGTATATTGAATTAAAGGCGAGCGCCCAGACACTGAGCTATCACGGCTATGATACCCTCGGTATAGAGGAGGCCTTTGCCCAGCAGTGGGACATGTATAGGCTGTTACTTTACTTTTTTTTACTTTTAGTTTATACAACTAATTCAATAACGTCCAAGAGTATTTATTTCGTTTTAAGGATTCTGTTTATTTTATTTTTGTATGATATATTTTTATTTGAGATCTATTAGTTTCAAAGTTGGCATTTTTAAGTGAGTGTATGCATTTAACAGTTCAGCAGAGCCAGGCGGACAGTTGGTGACGGAACGATGGAAACCAGGCTGGGGTTGGTACTTGGCAGCCACAAGGAACTTTATCGTTGCAGAGATAGATGCCAGGGGTTCTGGGGGACAGGTGGGTTTTTGAATTCATCTGGAAATCGGGACTTTTTTAAGATTGGAGGATGACATAGGATTGTTTTGTAACGTATAAACTGCCGTAATAAGTACATCCAGCGATGAGATTTTTTTTTCCATTAAACCTTTAATCTGAGCTGTTTTTGTAATACTTTTTTACAGATTAACGTTTAAATTTTTTTAGCTTTGCATATTTTGAAGGTCGACCAATGTTAGCTTCATTAAGTCGATACATATATTCCATTATTTTCACGGGTCATTTATTAAATAAAATTAATTTCCAGGGTGAAGAATTGAGAACAGAAATATATCAGAAGCTTTTATCAGTTGATGTCGAGGACCAAATAGCAGTTCTTTCGTGAGTATAGAATTATATTTAGATTGTGTTACATAGTATTGTGATCATAAACTATTGTCTCACAGTGTACGTGTTTATATTTGAACCATTGGCCAATACAAAGTTTAACTGTGGCAACTCGTCCGGGGAAGTACCAGGGACTCACAGAAAACCGGCCTGAAGTGAAAGTATTGTACTTTTGTTTTCCGTTTGGTGAGACCAGTAACCGGGATCCGGTTTTAAACGGTCGACAATCAAAATTAAAAACAAAATCTAAATCATTTATTCATCGACATAAGAAACTTACATTTCATCTATCGATACCTTTTTATTAAGTTTTTCTTTAGTAACTTTCTAAAACCTCTTAATAGACAGGTTTTGCGCATTTACTGGGATTTTTTTGTGGTTGCGTATACAACGCTCCATGGAAGAGTTACTTACTCTATGGAGTCTAGTAACTGGCAATGCATCTGCAACTCCTTAGTTGTTGTATATATTGTATATTCAGTGGCGGCGGTAAACGCTTGCATTAAAATATTTAAATAACGAAATAACCAATACCGTCATTTCATTTCTTTCCCGGCCATTAAGGTCAGAGTCCGGCCTTTTTTATGTGAGAGGAGGATGTTAAATGATTACCAATGGACATCTGCAACACCCGAGTGACAACCTTTTAAAAACTTGGCCCCGGTCACCTCCACTCAGCAGACGAAACGCGAAAGTATAACGCTCCCACTTCGCGCCGGTCTTCTGCGCCGCCGTGACACTTCCACGGAAGAGCTTGCAACAGTGGAGGCTGCTTGTCCGACCGTTGCCATTGCCACCCGCCAGCTACCTGCGCGACAACCTGAAGATGGTGGACGGCGCGCGCGTGGGCGCGTGGGGGAGGGGCTACGGGGGGGGCGCGGCGGCGGCGGCGGCGGCGGGGGACGCGCGGAACGTCACGCGCTGCCTCGCCGCCGTGGCCCCGCTCGCCGACCTGCGACGCCACAGTCAGTGAAGGAGACACTATTCCTTACCATACGCTTGCACAAACTCAGGCTTTAAAACTACATCAACAAACATCAGGGATCAACATCCCTGGTCAACAGTAGAACATTTTGCTATATCGATAGGGATCGACTAATGAGAATGCGTTCAAATCATAGCATACTCCATTCACCTCAGGATGATAGTAATGACAGTTTGCGACCGTGTGAAAGTTCTTACTAGGTGAATGCGAACCGTGTTTGGGAAGGTTCCTCCAGTCACCTAACTCTCAGGATGATCAGGTCAGTGCCTTACAACGATTCATAACCACAAACTCTGACAGCTCAGTATCCGGGCGCTCGCCTTTAACTTAATATACTCGAGCAACCAGAGTACGATCCCGGTGTCGGAACCAATGAAATTGTTGATTTTAAGCGCTGTTATATCACGTGCTCAGCCTGGAAAGAAAACATCGTAAGAGGACCTGCGAAATAATAACCAAAAAAAAAGTTTGGAGGATACACGAAGTTCGCTATACGAGATCCTCTGTACGGAGGCCTTCGCCCAGCGGTGGGCCATTTATAGGCTGTTGCTCTCCGCGCAGACTCGTACTGGACGGAGCGCTACGGGGGCGCCGCTGCCGGTGCGGCAAGCGGGGCGGTGTGGCGCCGCGCCGGCAACCTGCCCCCGCGGCGGGTGCTGCTCGCGCACGCCACGGCCGACGAGAGGGCGCCGCCCGCCCACGCGCTCGCCCTGGCGCGCGCCCTGGTGCGCGCGCAGGCGCTCTACACGCACCAGGTGCGGCTCTCGGTCAATTAAAGGCTCAGACGACCACGTGGCGCAGTCGCCACGGCAACGCCTTCGGCGTCGGGGGCCGTGAAACTCAAAATGTCTCTATTCAACCCATAAACCCTTCACTTCATAATTAACACTGCAGAAAATCAGAGTCAAATTTCTCTATTGAACATAGACTTATTTTAAACTCTTATTAAACGTCAAAAACTACCGAGAAGGACCGGCAAGAAACTCTGCGGTATTAGCCACTGCACAACCGAATTATGTTCCCAACTTAATTAGTTTATCTCTACCCAAATAATATTTTAAATTGTATTGGACATCTTATAACTTGCCCGAGCCTATTCATCAACGTTGCATATTTAGTTTAATAATAAAATTATAAGACACTAGCGGACCCGACAGACGATGTTCTGACTTAAATGAGACAACTTATAGATAAAAAAAATTAAATAATGTAGTGGACCGAATTGAAACCATTCTCATACGGATTTGAAGACACTCAAAAAACACACGTACAAAATATTCCTTCTCGAACGTCATACAAACAAGGCAATACAACTTTTCACGCCCTCAGAACTTAGAGTAGAACTAATTCGTACGTTTCAGGTTTACCCAGACGAGGGTCACAATTTCGAGCGGTCGTACATCCATCTGCATAAGACGATGGAGCAGTTCTTCGACGAGTGCTTCGGGCCAGTGGAGCTCGCCGATTGGGACGCCACTGGGGTCGGGGGTTTGTTCCCGTTTCGAGACTAATTTCGTCGAGACCATAAGGATGCAATCAGCATTTCAAGAGACGGTCGAAATAATGAGAAAGTTACACGCAGCAACCATTAATAAGACACGCTTAGCTTCAGTGTCTCACTGTAAAAACACGTTTATCATTACGTAATAATCGTGAGATATGACTAAGGTTGACATATATACAAAGATGGCGATTCCCGCGCTTTCGCATTATTAATAATCTTGTATGAAGCAAATGTAAAACTTTCTCTTAAGGCCTAACGCCAATAAAAAAATCAAACCAAATCCAAAAATCATTGTCGACCGTTGCAACACGGTAGATATGAGGAAAATTTATTGACTACTAATTAATTCAATATAATGATGTCACATCGAATATACAAGAAATTATTAATAAGAAACATCGGTGGATTTGTGTACCATCAAAAAATAATTAAGCGAGAAGAAATGGTATATTGTAATTTAATAGGCGAAAGAAATAATGAAAAGCACTAAAGGCAACAAAATTAAGAAAATCCTCTCAAAATAAGTAAGTAATATTGTAAGATAAGCATGTTCACACACTATCCATTCCCTTATTTTACGACGAAAAATGACAATATTTTTTTCAGAAAGAAAATACATATTTGAATTAATAAATATCAAAGGTCTCGTATGTATATTTGCATTTAAAATTTAATATAAAATATTATAGGCTTAGCCAATGCAACACACCGAATTCATTTCGACAAGCCAAGTGTCTCTTATAATATCCTCTTTCTGAATTAAACGAGTAATATGGTTGATCCTTCATATATTTGCCGTATAAATTTAAACAAAGTATTTGCTTAAAGCACGAGACAAACGTTCTTCGCGTTAACCTATAATGGATGTGGTTGTTAATCTTCCGAATCTGAGAAGTGTTCTTAAAGAGACGGGATAAAGTAGCGTGCAAACGCTGAGGCGATAAGAATGACGTAATAACTTTAGCTGATTGTTAATCCACCTATGTTTGGTGGTGTCAATAAAGGCTTGTGCTAAATCTTCCCTCAATTTAGGCTGGGAACTCAAGTATTCAAGAAATGTTTATGAAATAGAGTTTAAAGTGTATCGTCTGTAACATGTTTGATATATGGTGTGTTCGTTATGGTCGAGGAAGACGATAAACAAATGTAATGTGACGAAATTGTTCCAAATAAACGTGTACATAATATTTATATATATATATAGCGCAATATCATACATTATTCCAAAACTAGATCTATTGAGTCAGGAACGGAAATCGAATATGATGACCATTATTTACTTTGCCTGGCTCGTTTAAAGTATTTTATACAAATGTTAATTAATATAGATTATGTTAAATAAGAAATTTTTGTTAGAATTTTATATTATAGTGGACAAAGTGATACGAGTTTTCTTTTACAAAAAACAATTACCTGTTTGATAGAATGTAAAACGATACTTACATCGTTTTGCACATTGTTATCGCTTCTTTTAAATACCCCAAAGCTTTAATTTTTAAAAGAAATTTCTTTTCAAAATTTTTACTGATATTATTTCTTATTATGGATTTGATTATCGTAATGGTGCATTAAATTTAGAAGGTAAAAAAATGTATTATGCCTAATTGCAAAACATGTTGAAATTATATTGTGAAAGAAAAAAAATTGTGAAAACATAATAAAAATATCAATGTTAATAATTCATAGAATATTTTTAAATTATATAATGCGGGCATAATCTGTGGACAAGATTTATTTTCTTATCCTGTCAGAGGACATTTTAACTTGCAAAGAGAAAAAGACGTTCTAGTTTCCATAAATAGATATGTATGTCAATGTTTTGTTATAAACATTTACTTTTACTATAATATATAATTATTTAGTCTTATTTTAAAAATTGTAACATTTAGAAATATTGTCCACAGACTATGTATTAAGGGGTGGTAACTCTTGAGAAATTTTCTTATGATTACTATAAGAGACAAATGTTCTATATTTTAGTGTAAATGTATCAACCAATTTATCTATATATTTCTATGTCGCTTTGGATGTCATCGTAAATCAGAGTTAGCTTTAAATTAAATAGTATAAGCTGGGTCGTCAAATGAAATTTTGTCTCCTCATATTGTCTATGTGTGGATGTAGTTAAATTAAATATATATAATATATAAAAAACTTAAATTAACTTAAAACATATATAAATGAACGTATATGTATTTAAACATTCTTGTAGACGGAGGAAATAGCCTTTCACAAATAGTTTTTTTTTTATAATGTGCTGACATTAATACTAGCAATGTCTCTTAGACTCTAGTCAGTATAAATAATTGTCTATGAAACGTGCTTTATTCTTATCCATTCTACAATGTTATTCCTTATTATATAAATAGATACTGATTACTTGCCTTCAAGTAATTCTCACGATATTTTTCATCTGTTGCATTCTTGCAATGTTATATGTATAATATACATATATACTTAGTTTGGCCTCTATACAGTTTTATATTTGAATTATGAAATGTGAGATCGAAACGGTTGAAATGACCTTGAGCCAACGTTATTTTCTTTTCTATTAACATCTTTTTTTGGTCATTTACAAACGCCCTGTGATGAATGAAGCTATGCATTGATTTTAATATTATAATTATTTTGGTGTATTTCACGCAGGACGATTTTTTACAAAAGTTTATGTAAAAATATTCTATGCTATTTATTTAATTTATTTTAAAAAATGCCAAAGAATTGCTGCTGTGTCAGATAAACACGCTTATCACGAAATACTCATAAAGTTTAATTATATCGCAGCTAGCATATCAAATCGATAAATAAAAATATATTTTGATGTACACTGTACAAGTCCGAAGGGGTAATCTTTGACCGTGGAGACATTTCCATCAAAGTTACGAGATAGGAATAAAAGGGAGTATCACTGTCTTTTCTGGATTATTCAAACGCATAAAAAGAAAGAAGCTTTGATGATAAATTCCATAAGAAAATTGAATTTTCGTCAACCCTTGTTTCACTTTAAAATGTAATTATTTTTTCTAACGCCTGTTTTTTTTTTTAATTTTTTCTGCCTCGGAATTTATACAATTTTTTTGTTATTAAAGTTTTATAGAAATACAATAAATATGTCTTCTTTTAACTTGTTTTATTAGCTATTCTTTATAAAAGAATAAGGAAACGCTGAGATACCGAGGTAATACTTGTAAAAGTGATATAATTATATGTAACCGTAATTATATTTGTAGTCTCGACTTATTCCTTATATACAGAATGATGTTTGTGACAAAGTTAATTGGATGGATATGTTTGTTGTTTATGTTAAAATGTTGTTTTTTTATAAAAAAAATAAATTATTGTTCCCAAACGTTGTACTTTCATTTCATTAATTCGTAGTGTTGAAAGTTTTCCATGGTATAATAATGCGCTACGAGAGATGAATTCGAAACAGTGATCTTTACAGGGCCCAAACCGACATGTTAGTTTTATTCTTTTATTGACCAGTATCAAATGATTGTTCTCTCTTCAAAACGCTCTTATTAACTCAATAAAGCCAACTGAAAATTTATGAATGTGGTTCAATTGAATAAGATTTTCTTAGTAAAATAAGCGGTTGATTGGGTAAATGATTATACGGATACCTTCAAATACATTGTTTGCACGGCAGCTGGCAATAATTTTTTAACGCCGTAGACTTTTCTTATTGACTAGGCGTCATCAGAAGCAAATGCTCATTTTAACTCCAGAAAATACTACGTGTGATATCATATACGTGTGAAGTCAAAATCTTAATATATTTAATAAATATCACAACAGTTTCTTGATGTGTCAAACATCAAGAATAAGATATTTCAAAGAAAAAGATAGTTAATTGAAAGCGGAACCATTCTGAATACTATAAGCTATGATTATATTTACGACATGGGAGGGGCATGGGGAGGCTGTTTTTTTAGTATTTTTTATTATAACGGCAACAAAAATACATCATCCGTAAAAATTTCAACCTTATATAAATATTTTTATTGTTTTTTTAATATTTCTTGTTATAGCGGCAATAGAAATATATAATCTGTGAAATTATTAACTGTCTAACTATCACGGTTCAAGACATACAGCTTGGTGACAGACGGACAATAGACAGACAGCGGAGTCTTAGTAATAGGGTCCCGTTTTAACCTTTGGGTACGGAGCCCTAAAAATGAGGTCAAATAGGAATTGATAACAAATCATTGAAAAAGTCCAATTCTTCAGAACAGGTGTGAACTTTCAGCGAAGAAGAAAGTTTTATCAAACAGAGCTTAATGGACATACAAATAAAACACATCTATGCTATTTATGCTATTTGTGCTATTTATGGTTGTTTTTTCTCAACAGCAGCCTTTAGGACTTCTGATATAATTTTATAAAGCTTAGTCTTTGGAAGAATATCATAAACCGTATCACTTGACACCGAATTTTGTGCAATGGTTGCGGTGTTCGTAATATTTTTGCGTCGATCGACTCTTATATCATTTCCGCTTTTCGAGGCGAAATTATTTTTCTTCTCATTGTCCGACAAATACAGCAAAGTCAATACCGAATCCTCAGAATCCTGATCATGACTTTCAGAGTTCTTATTATTTCTAAGTTTATCCCACATTTTACCCTCCTTTTGTGCTACAGGCATTGTAGCAGTAGTTAACACATTACTTTGAGGTGCTTCTGCGTAGTTTTGTAACGGTGAATTTGATGCCATTTCCATATCCATAGAAACTTCTCTCAAAATCTGATTTAGATCGATTTCGTCCAAAAGCTCCGCAATAGCTTGTTCTCCGGAGATATCTTTGAAGTCTACAGAAGACGGCGCATTCAAATCCTTTTTGATTTGGAAATTTTTATCATTATCATCTGACTGACTTTGATTAGAATCGTCGGAGTCATCATCACTAGACTCCGTAGCGAGTTCCAGCAGTATCTCTTGCGGAGAATCCGTCGTGGTCGCCGAAAAATGATTTTTGTTTTCTATTTGTGTGTGATCAAAGTTTTCAAAATTCCTCCCGATGTTCAATGTATTTTCTGTAGCTGAAATTAATTTTGTTTCGTGATTTAACTCTTGATGTTCGGATGTATATTTTGTTACAGGTATATCGTCTTCTGAGGATTCATCGCTGTCACGAGACACGTCCACCGTTCCTGTTGCATAAACGTCGGATCCGAATCCAGCAGTAATCCGTTTATATGCTTCGTTATTCGAATCGTTCTTATCACTCACAATTGTAGATCCTTTCGTTATTTCATTGGTTGGTTCGCCTTCAAAACTGTTAATTTTATTTTGCCTCGAAATCTCCGTATCTTGTTTAATATTGATTTTTTGAGTTGCGTCACTGTCGAACATGGTTTCTAGAAATTCTTGGAACAGCTTATTGTCATTCAATAGCATTCGCAAAGCGCTTTCTTCATCCTCCTCAAGAGCGGGCATCGGCTGCACGCCCTCCTGTACAGGTTCTATCTTGAACGTAGTTGTAGTGTATGGTGTGGTCATATATGGTGCGTATGGATCCTCCTCAACTTGCAACGTTGTACGCTTTTTACTGCGCGGAACATCCTGTAAGTTGAAATACAATACTTGTATGTGTCAGTTATGGTAGTAGAGCACTTCTTGCTACAAGAGTCGTCAGAATTACCTTTGTATCTGATGTACAATAAGATTACTTTTTATAACATTCAATTCACAATAAGTTCATCGAAAACTCTTTGCTTTAAAAAAAAACAGCACAATAGCCTTATTCCCTTGTGCTTATTTTTTAACTTGTACGGTATCATATTAAATAAGTAAATAAATAATTATTTAAGGACAAATTTTTACATAACCATTTCCAGTCCCAATCTTATGGCCAGCAGTATACAGCAGAGGCATTGGTACGATAAACGCTAATTTCACAACATCATTACCATTTCCATTATGTTCTCTATCCAGTTATGATAGTAACCCAGCTTGGTGAAGACAGTCGGCACGTCTGGGGTCCCGCAGACTGGTGAGCCGAAGCTCACCACTCCCATCAGAATTCCGTTGACCACTCCAGGAGCTCCTACGTCACGCTGGACACAAAAATACTTTGTTCAAGAGAAGTTGGCAATAGAGCAACTGCATCTGTGGTGATTATTACCATAGAAGATTGATTCGGTTTGCAGATGCGTTAACAGCCTTTGAAATTTTGCGTTGACGATTGCCATACTAACCAGATGAAAGGAATGAAAGAATACTATTTCATCCCGGTTATCTTTGTGATGAATGTTTTTTTACATATGGTTGTAATAAACCTTTTTCTAAACAATATAATAATTAAGTGTATGTAATGTCCTTAATTGAGTAATATATGTAAGAGGAAACATATAAGTTAGCTATACTAAATAAATAACAAAGACAACATCATGAAATGACAATTTTTTTTAAGAAATATGTGAAGTCTCCGAATCTGCAATGTGATCGTGTGGCGGAATATGTTTTATATTTTTACAGACAAATACATATTAGGCAACCATATTAAAATTTCATATTTTTATTTTAAAAAAAGAGCCAAACTAGAAACCACTGTTTTTTTCTATATTCGAAACCTCTTTATAATTTAACGAGTAAATATATTGTTAGTGTGAACATACGTTGCAAGCACCACTGCCTTTTGAGAAGAAACCACCACAGAAATGTTTCGTTGTTACGTATGTCCTGAAAATTAATACATTATATTGGATTTGTTAGATGATAAAAAAGGTCCATTAAAGACGCATCGAACAAGCGTATACAGACTGAAAAAAACGGTCGTAAAAATTGGTGTAAATTTAGGTACTTTTATATTTCTTTTTACTAATCCTGTATAACGCACTAACTTGCATAATTTCATTCGTATTATCAGCGAACTTAGGGCGTTTAGAGATTATATAAAATATTTATAAAATAGAATACACTTAGATGGCGTTACTGCACCATAGGTTTCATATTTTAAAGTAAGCGAAAAAAAAAAAGGTGCCGCAATTTATTAAGACGGGATTATAATAAATGGAGACCGACTTCTATCCGCTCTGTAAATGCTTACTAGAGCTTACTGTAGCTCAGTGTGCCAATTTACAAATTTTAAATGCTGACTTATCACATTTTCACCGGCGAAGAAAAACCTCGCAAGGAAAACTGCATATATTCGAAATAAATAAATAATAAAAAAGCTATTGCATAGCATTTTTTATCAACTTATGCAATTATAATTATTTAATTATACAGTATTTTTTTTCTTTGATATTAATTCAAGTTATACTTTTTGAGCGTGGTGACCTATCAGAAAATAATTGATTTTTTTTTTATTGAATAAATGAAACGTTAATATCGTTTAAAATATTTTTATTATCTTACAATACGTGTAGGTTATATAGGAATATGGTATTATTAATGGTAATATTATATGAACTATATGTTTATGGTAACTGAAATAAGAAACATAAGTTTGAGACTTGATATCCTCTTAATATCATATCATCATATGATAGAATATTATCCATCCGTGCGAGCTTCGTGCAATCATACCATATACATACACGTTAAGCGAACGCTCGGCCGAGCTACATGGTAGGTGGAGTGGGGGTGGGGGGGAAGGGGTTAGGTTTTATTTACGTTACGGAATTTCTTGATTCGGTCGCCGCGCTCAAAGCCCGCAATGAAAGCTATGCAACAGCTTAAAAAATTGTTTCGAAGACATTCTAGTTCCACTAAACCGCGGTAGGGCAACAATATCGACAATGAGCTAATACCCTCTTTACAGAGCAGGCCTCTTCCTAGTAGTTGGACACATATAGATTGTTACATTACTTTTAAAGGTTTTCAAGCTTAAAAATTAAAAACGTGATGAATTATTTTTTAGATACATTTTTAAATAGATTTTTACAATGCATTGCAACTTTAGCAACTTCATAACGTTTAATTTCCAGTTTAATAAAAAAGAAATTCATTCACATTCTACTTATTTCCTTGACTCGTTCCTCACTGCAATTCGTCTATACTACTGTTAATAGTTCTTTCTCTGACGCTACTTCTACTATAAGCGTCATTATGGTAATTAACGAAACCCTCATTGTGCATACTTTTGCGGACAATTTTTTGGGTTAAAACACTTAGGGAGTGGAAGCAGCTTAGTGGAGGGGAAGGAGTCTCCTTCCCCTCCACAGTCCAGAAGCTAAATATAACAGGAATTCGTAACACCAGCACTCCTACATACCCGAATCGTTGATAAAATATCTTATAAAATAAACAAAGAATGCAATTCGTACTTGGAATAAACTTCCTGACATTCTCGTAATGGGTACACGTCAAGGTTGGCGTACGATAGTATGTTCGCCCAGGGGCTTCCCAGTTTGTTGCTTATCTGCAAACATACACAACAAATACAAATTTATGATACAAGCCAACTGTGGTAGAGCCACGTAACAGTCTTCGCTGTTGCACAAATGGGCAGATCCGGTCAGATTAGTACCATGACTTCACAGAAGACCTAAGTTAAGCGGAAGTGTTGTAGTTCTGCGTTTCTTCTGGTAAGTCAGGTAACCGGTTGCCACTTTATAATAAAAGGTGATACCTATCTCTAGGGCAGTGGTGTTGTACTACTAGCTTGAAATATCGATACACGAGGAGAGGTGGTAGTTTAGATGAGCGTGGTAAATAAATAAATTTTCCAGGTGTTTTTTTTATTGTCGAAAATACAAAAAAAATTAACTGCATCACAGAGACCACCCGTCATATTTTAACTCACTATTATGACACAATAGCTCTTGGTGGATCTTTGCGTTCGATACAAAAAAAAAACCCACATGACCCTTTCCAGTGCTACCTAACCTTCGACATTCTACTGATAGTAACCAATCATCGCTGTCCATGTACACTCGCCACAACGGAGTAGTTACAAGTACGCTGATAGCCTTAGAGGTAGATATAAAATAAGGTCCCTAGAACTGGGCATCTGATCTCTGTCTATGTTCGGCAGATAATTCCGAGAAAAGCACAGAGGTCAACAGTTAACTATCAAATTGCTGTCGATGGTGTTTGGCGGTACATCACGTTGTACGGTGGTGGCATTTATCTTTAACTTCGTCATCCTCCCAGCTATATCTTGAATGCTCAACAAGCTGAACCGAATAATAGCGAGATAAAAACGTCCCATATTGGGGTCTATTATTTATGGTACAAATTTAATAATACTTACCCCTTTCGCCCCCCACCCTACTATAGTAATTCCGGGCGTGTTGATTGCTAGACTCCACGGTTTATTGTCGATTGCGATTTTGCGGACCTTTTTTCTGTCTCTATGTCGAAATTTGATATGCCTAAGCAGACGCAGGACGCATATGTTGTCCCTAAGGGTCTTCGGGTTGTAGCCTGGGTGGAAGTATATCTCCAGCACCGGGATAACCTCCCCACCGCTGTTGTAGAATGAGGATCCAACGCGCACAGACAGAAACGCCGGGTTCTCTCGATAAAAGCGGTTGTTCCAAGCTCTAGTTAAATAAGAATATTTTGTTAGAATAACTTTAAAGTTAATCGTTGATAACATATCTTAGTAAAGGGAACGCTTTCTATAATAATACTATTAAGTGAAGTTAAGACTAAAACTCTTATCTATATTTATAGCAGATTAAGAAATAATAAAAGAATGAAACTATTATTATTACTTAATAAAGCAGTATATTGGACTTTAGACTACTATTTCCTAATTAAGTAGTCATAAACAAAAATCCATTAAGAGAAACCGTTTTACAAACTTTATTTACTATACCTTGTTGATAAAGTAGTGGTTAAGCTAGCACGTTTCATGGTCTTAATTTAAAAACATTTGCTATTAAAAAGCTATCAGTGTCAAAAGTCAAACGTCATTTAAATGAACTGTCTACCCAATAATTTAAGAATAGAAGTTTTTAATAGCGCCAAAAACGAAAAGAAGAAGTAGAAGTTTTTAATATATTTTACTGCTCCTTGACCAATAAGTGAAAACTGACTTTCTTTAAAAGTCCTCCCTTCTCAGAAGCAGGTAGGTCTTGAGTTGAACTTTATATTAAATGCTAAGAACTACGATATTTAGGAAGTGCGAAATGCGCATTTCCTACTGGAATTTGGTAAAAATATATATAACATAGTGAGTTTGGAATTTGAGATTATGAATAGATGAATAGTTACAATCTTATTATACACTTACAGTTGTAGACAGGACGATGCGGTGATGACGAGATCAGATTTAATTATGGACCCGGCGCATTGGAAGGCGTTGAAAATCTGAATGCTAGCCATGAACGGGAAGTATTTGATCTTCGTTCGCTCCCCTCGGTAGATTCGCCGGCCACTTTCTACTATTAAAATTAAATAAATTAAAAAGAAAAGTTAAGGAACAGCCTATACATGTCCCGCTGCTGGGCAAGGTCTGATCTGTACAGAGGGTACCACCATGCCACCCCACTGTTATATATTTTTTGTTTTAAATTCCAAAATATGCAGGTTTTCCTTTACCGCTGAGGGCGTGATAATACACATAATCTGTGACGAAAAATGTGTAAGCGTACACGTAACAACTTACCCCAAAGCTCGCTGCTTTCCAGGACGGTAAAACTGTCACTGTTTTCATCATTTGTCAAATTAGCGTCTACCACCCCTTTCGATTCCAATGCATTAGTGTATCGAAAAATCTTGATAATGTTCGAATTGATATCCGAAAATACTTTATTAACACCATAACTCTCTTTTAAAGATTCTAACTTCGCGAGGAAATCGTCTATGTAAGTTGTCACAATCGCGTCGGCGTCATCTACCAATACATCCTTCGCATCATACTCGCAAGAGTTCTCGTCCAGCAATGCATTTATAACAGTCGTTAGATTTCCTACGGTGTTATTGTTTATTTTATAGTCCACTCTGGTCAGTCGTGCGATCTCCTTCAAAACGTCCGAATCTCGAAACGTAACTGATAGAAAGTAGTGATGCAACGTCGCGAAGTCTTTAATCCTCGTACTGTTCACGGGCTTCGCTAGTTTCAGATCGGATAAGAGACTGTTCGTGCAGTTCCTTATGATTTTCTCTGTCGTTATGAGATCGTCGACGTCGAATTTCGGGAGTTCGACCAGCCCGTACAGACCAACTATAATATTCAGCAAGGTATAAATCACGAAACTATCAAAGGCAGACAACATGAGAAAGTACGACGGACGCGATTCAATTACGAAATATACAGTGTGTTCATCATAAAGGAAAACTTCATTCTCAATGTATTGTTTTATTTTTTTCACTCTTATCAAAACTTGCACCTTTGAAAATTAAACTAGTTTTGTTTTTACGATATGTTTCACAACATGAAATGAAATGGCGTATAAAATGTACTTTATAATCTTCAACATATACACGTCGAAATAAAGAAAACTCTAATAAATATTAATACAAATATTGGAAAACCGAATACTTTATAGTCGATTTTAAACCTTCCAGTGTGATTTTTGGTAGAATAAACAAAACCAGTTGTTAGAAGTGGAAACTGATCGGAGTTTCCTTCGGTGTATATTATGTGGTGAATGACAGGCTTAATATAAAAGATTGAAATCATTTGAAAGTAATAAAATAAATGAAATGAAGGAATGGTTACAAAATTACAAATCATCGATATAAAAAGATATAATGAAAAAAAGAACGGCTTTTTCCGCGCCCCATGTTTTGTTTTCTCTTTCTGTGATTTTTTAATATTAAATTTTTTCGCGACGATGGTAAGAGACCCGACGGTTTAACATTGATCCCTTGGGAGAGAGGCAAAGCCCTTGTTTGGGACGCCACTTGTGTAAACACTTTGGCTGCCTCTCATCTAAGGGGTACTTCGGTCGGGGCCGGGGCGGCATCGGAGGCAGCTGAAGTAAGTAAATGGCGCAAATATGAGTCTTTATGTTTAGATTATGTATTTGTGCCATTTGCTGTTGAAACTTTAGGTCCGTGGGGTCGCCGCTTTTCCTTGCCTTAACGCCGCGGCTGGTGACAAGAGAGCTGGTTCTTTTCTGGCTCAAAGTTAAGCATAACTACTCAGCGAGGAAATGCAGCTAGCGTTCTTGGCACCATGCCGCATGGATTAGATTTATTAGATAATATGTAATTTTACATTAATCATACATTTAATCTTGTAAATATTAGATCAAAGTAAAATAAAAATATAATATAAATCAAATATTAAAATTAGTTAATTTAAATTAAACAAGTAGGTAGTCAAATCTGGAAAGCTCCCAAATATAATTTCCCATATTGATTTATTACTAACAATAATCTGTTGGGAGTCACTAATGGTAATGAACAAAATTGTTTTACAAATACTCTTACTTTTTTCTTATATGCGAGAAGGTGGCAAAATAGCTGGCGGTTCTCCTGATAATAAACGGCAACCGCCGCCCATTGAAATTTTCAACAGCCGTAGGGTTGCAGATGCGTTGCCCCCTTTTAATAAAGTGCGCCCCGGCTACCTCACTCACCAGACGAAACGCAGTACTTCCACTTCAGGCCGATGTTATGTGAGGGCGTGGTACTTGCCCGAACGGACCTGCCATTTGTATAACAGGCAAAGACGTCTAGGAACATTGTTTAAAGTGCTTCTCGCCAGATGCTCCTCCTCTGATACGTAGCAGGAAGCGCTATATCTATCACCGAACCAAATAAGGCCAGTGGGGGTATTCTACTGTGATAGGGTCATGTAATCTGTTGTTGCACGAATAGGCAACCCACCAGGTGCGTAGATTGCCATGTGCGGCGATAATCACTTAACATCAGGTGAACCGCTTGCTCGCTTGTCATCTTTTTATGTAAAAACGAAAAATATTCTGTTCAAAGTCGCGAAAGCACTCGACAAGTCAAGACTTTGCATAACGGCTACATTTATAAGGTCACACGAGGAGGGCCAGACAGACTCGTCCACTCATAATTCGAGTCGACAAATCGAGTCGATTTTCATGGATCAACGCTTTCCCCGACACAATACCCTAAGAGAGTAATAAAAAAAATTAAATGAAGGAATGGTTACAAAATTACAAGTACAATATAAAAAGAAATAGGTAACGAAAAAAGAACGGCTTTTTCCGCGCCCTATATTTTGTTTTCGCTTTCTGTGAATTTCAAATATTAAAAATAAAATTAAAATATAATATAAATCTAATGTTAAAATTAGACCAGTGGCATCCCCGAGATTACCATGACGATGCAGCCCTTTACCCGACGGATCGCACAAAACCTCGATTATTATCTGCTCACAAGAAAGAAAGAAAGAAAGAAAGAAAATACATTTATTTACCAAAAAAAAGGACACATTAAAGAGAAAGAATAACTAAAATTAACAACAAATAAAATAAATAAAAAAAAAAATACTTATAAATAATTCAGTAAAGCAAAAAGAACACGAATACATAATTAAAATATAAACAACAACAACACAGGCAGCAGAAGCCTAGGGCGTGAGACGCCCGAACGAAAATACCACGTAGTTAGGCTTTAAAGGCTTAAAGGTTTTTAATAGGCTCAAAAAGGAAAAATAATGTATCTATATATACGGTGTACACCATAAAGTATATCTTTTATAGTATTCTACATGAAATAAAACATACAAAACGTTGGAATCACATTTTATTTCCTTTATCTTACAGTTTCTTATAATACAGTTGTCTACTCTATGCCCGGATGGTTACGTAGAAGCTAAACGGGATGCCTGGGTACAAATAAAAAAACATTAATACTATTTAAACATACTATAATTATAAAATAGTGAAACATGTAAGAGATACCCTACAAATTCTATAGTACACAAGAAATGCATAATTTATTTTTTCAACTGTTGCAGGAATACTCTCACTGAGTCATCTCATCTCTCGAATTGACAGCTGACTCTCAACAACTGACTCAGCCAGAAAAGTACAGAAGACCACAAAGTATTGAACTTATCGAGTTATGGCTGATGAATTTATCCAAGACTCACTTAAAATCCATCAGGTATTGTAGACTCCATCTTAAAATCATTTGATATCTTGCCAATCTTTATGATTATATATAATTAAAATCCTAAATGGCTGGACCAATTTTAATGAAATTTTTTGTGTCTTCAGGTTGATTCGAGAATGGTTTAAATTCACAGTTCGGTCCACTAGTTTTTTTTTAAATTTCTAAGTTATTGAATTTAAGCCGTGTATGAAGGACGTCTATCTGGACCGTTTTTTATGTAATAATAATAAATGTGATTTATTGAAACTTTGCATACAGTTTTAGTAGGGCCTTGACTCCGAAACTAGGTTATCGATTCCCACACGAGACAACAGCTATTTGTGTGACCCACAGATAATTGTTTCGAAAGTCTGTGTGAAATTTTATTCATCTAAAACATCCTAGGATAATATCCCACAATAAGGAAAGACTACTTAGAGGTTGCAATGATCATTGGAGCTTACTACTAAGTTGAGTACTTCCAACAAAATTCAAATTATTCAAAGGTTACTGGAGAATGGAAGGAAACTGAATATTTTTTGGATTCGCACTTGTATTAGCTCAACAGTATGCATTCTCCAAGTTTTTAAGGCCGTCTCTTTAAAAGGAAAACTCACAGTTTACTTCCAGCGGTTGTTCTCGTAGTCCCACTTGGACGCGAGACCGTCTATTGGGTTGACCTTGAGGTCCAGCATCCTCTTCAGCTGCGCCTTTTGAGCGTCCTCGTCGAAAGACTCTGGCAGCGGACTGTACACTGAGAGGCAACCTCATGTCAACACATTTGTCCTGTTCTTAGTGATATGATCATATACAAAGTAATTGGCAAGTTTTCCAAATTTTGCACAAATTTCTTGATGCATTTCGAGTTATTTTTAAACGAAACTTGAATGTTTAGTAGATTACAAAAACGACCATTTTCGTATCTCTTTCCCGTACTTTGTTGTCCTTCATGCTGAAGAAATGACACGGATGTTTTATAAGTAACTTTTACGAATATTTCTCAAAAAATAAAATGATCACAGGTTCCCCGTTGCCAGCTTACCGAACAACTTCATCCCCATGAAGATCCACAGGGAGAGCGAGGCGATGGCGAGCGACCAGCCGAGCACTCCCTTCCACTCGCCCGTGGGCGCCTGGAACTCGGCGAAGGTCTGGCAGAAGGAGGCGCGGTACAGCGCCTTCTTCTCCTCCAGGGTGAGCTTGCGCCAGTCGCCCTTCTCTTTCTCGCGGAGGACCTGGGAAACGTTTTAAAACACACCAGCTCGTAACGCCACCTACTAGACTCCAAAGAGTAAATAATTCGTAGGAAATAAAATGACAAAAGAGCATGCCTACAGTTTCTTTCGCATGTTTCTTATCTGTTAGAGGAAACTTATGAGTTTAGAACGACGTAATGACGTAACGGTGGTAGGTGTAGAAGACCATTAATAGATGAATTAATGTACGTGTCTTGTTTCGATGAATAAATCATTTTCAATCATCAATTAAGAAGCATGTAATAAAGTTAATCATAACTATTCAGCGAGAAAATGCAGCTAGCATTCTTGGCACCATGCCATGTGGAGTAGGTTTATTGGATTATATGTATGTAATTTTGATAGATTTAATGTTGTAAATATTGGATAAATAAATTGATAAATGTTCCAAAAATGTAATTGATAAAAGTTCAAAATAAATACCTTGATATCAGGTGTGTCTGGGCGGAACCTGACAGCCGGCAAGGGGAAGTCAGGCCTGTCAGCGTAATTGGGTTGACCGTTGAAGCCATAACCGACCCATTCACGGTTGCCAATCTGCGAGGAACGACAGTGTCTTAAAAAATTAATTTTGTCACATACATGTCAATGTACCAATATTTTTATTAACATTTACACAAACCTGCAATAAACAGGTTCAAATCTACTAGTTACCACATTCACTGGATCATCATCATCCTCCTGCCCTTAGGTCTACCCTAGCCATCTGCCTAAATTAGGGTCGGCAAAATGTAAAGCATGTTGTAAACGGTTTTGGCTAAATTATTAACGACCTAACTGCCTGCCTGACGTCAACCCTCCTCAGGAAATAAACACCCAAATCCAGAACAATCATCTTTGGGTCACACAAATACTTATCCCGTGTGGGAATCGAACCCACGACCCCCGACACTGTAGCCAGTAGCTTAGCAACGGCGCCACCGACGACCGCACACGTCGTGAACAAATACATGCAAGGAATTCTTGCCAATGTACAAAGAGACACCCGGACCAATTATCACACAAATATTTTATGGAAGTAGAACCCACTAACCTGGCGCCAAAACCAATAGCTAGAGTTGCTATGCTAGCCACCGAGTTGTCTTTGTGGTGAAGAAGTGAACATTATATATTATATGCTCTGCTATGCATATATAAATCTGAACATACCTTGGCTAACTCACTTGATGCTCTGGTACCGACAGGCACTCGGATTGCGTCTATTAACGCACGACGCAAAAGAAAGTTGGCCATATTTCTAGAATTAAAACAAATTTCAAGTTAAGTAACATTTGTTTGCAGGGGTGGGTGGGTCGTTTGGGGGGGCTTTGTTTTAGGTGGATGAGGTAACAGGATGAGGTCCCACTTCATTTTAAGCTGGAATTGCATCTGCATTGTTACAGATGTTGTAAATGCCCATGAGCAGCAGCTATCACTTACATCAGGTGAACAAACAGCTCCCTTGCTATCTTATTATATTAAAAAAATATATTGTTTTAACAATTCATTCAATTAAGTTCATGAGACTAATTGAGTTCAGGCACTTTTTTTTTTCAATGCAATTCATATTCAATAAAAGGAATGAAACAATATTAACTGGCTTATATGTTCACCTCAACCTACTGTTATGCATTTTGTGTGGTGGGTATAATTTTCAGGTCCATACAGCGGGTACTGTATGTAACTGAAAATTTGTTCAATCTACTTCTGTGTAATATTAATTTTGGCAGTGACTTATATTTGTGAAGACCTTTACAAAGATTCCATAATGTATAAATGTTTAAAGAATAAAAAGTTTTCATTAGTTCATCAGGTACGAATTAGTAAATGCAATATTTAAAAAATATTTGCTATTTTTCTGTGACTCTAAAATAATTAACAATAATAACACCCGGGAAAATGATATAAATTACCTGTAATGAATTGTCAACTTAATAAATACAAAAGCATGATTTCATGTGCATACATGAATACATATTTATCACGAAGTTACATTGCTTATGAAAAATTTAGAAAATAATCCCTATATCTAGTTCATTGTTTCTGCAGCTAAGTAAATTATATACTTACATATTTTAAGTAAATTCATACATCATAAGAAAACGTTTCACGTTTTATAAAGTTAATTTTAGGGTTTTATGATTGTGTCACATAGATCCAATATCGTGTCTAGAGATTTTCATGATAAGGTAAGGTTACTTCATAAAGTATTGATTTGGGTTACATAACACAAAAAAATCTGTAAATCAATCTTAAACCACGTAAGTAAATTGCTTAATAATTTTATAAGATCATTAGATAAATGATTGTATTCGAATCTTAAATTATAGGTATATATTACGTACCGTGCTAAATTTAAGTTTCGAATTTAGAAGACACTTGTTAAAGGCAAATCTACCTTTAATATTACTTACCCCTGCGTATAACTAGTAAGCACATATAAAAATTCTACAAATAATAAAGCACTGGTACAAGTTAATAAATGGTTTACCTTCTTAAATTCGACTTTAATCCTGATAAGATTTTGACCAACACCAACCAGAGTTATGAAAAAAGCAGAGACATCTTATGAAAACGATCGAATACTTAATTACGTTCCATTCCCACAGAATTATTACAAATAAACTACCATGAAAATTACGCAATGATTAAGTTTATAGAACCTAACGATACTTGTGCTCATAATGAAAAAAAATGTTTTTAAAAGAATATTTTCTTATATAATTCAATAAATATAAAACATTCTTGATTTTCTTGACCATTAACCCTACTTTGTTTCAATTATATCACTTATAATGTTAATTAATAAATATATATCTAATAAATATTAACATTATACATATAATGTTAATATTTATTAGACAATCAATATATAAATTATTAGTACCAAGTAAGAAGATTTAGCCATTACCCCACTCTATATGCTCGAGTGGTCTCTTAATTGTAAGATGTAAAGGCATTATACAAAATCTGAATGTTATAGGTACAATCTGACTGCACACAAATTTCCACTAAGGCTTGTTGCCACCAGTGAGGCCTTTTTGTCGAGTCAACGGTTCAAGATTGTACTTTTATTATGCGTAATTGTATGTTATAATTTTTTATTGTTTTAGGTTTGTGCCATTTATAGTTTAGCATTTACTTCTACTTCTTCAAGTAGTGAACTATTTATAAAATTAGCATAATACGACTTAACAATCAAAGAGTATCGCACTTTTATTCGTGCAATCGCATTAAAAACAAATCAAAACGTCAATCAGGAGCTGTCGAATCACGACGTCACTGAAGATGTACTCGTGTTTAAGGAGCGTCAGTATTTTGAGGGGCTTTTCCTATCGCTCCATCCACGGCAGGTGCAGGATCGGGAACAGGGATGTCGTGGGTCACGGTATCAACGGGAGCGCCGCGTACAAGGACGACGCCCACTTCCCGTTCCCCGGAATACGGTTCAAGGAAAACACCAGGGATATCGCCGTAAGGTCCTTTTTAACATCACCATTTAAGACCTCTATGTGCGCGTGATTTCTATTAAGTTCGTTCACTGTTTAGTTCAAGGTCTGTTTAATTTTCTATTAATAAAATATACCTTGTAGTCCGGGCGCTCGCCTGTAATTGAAACGAGCCGTGATAGCTCAGTGTCCAGGCGCTCGCCTTTATTTCAATATACTCGAGCAACCTGAGTTCGATCCCTGATGCCGACACCAATGAAGGGTAAAATTTTCCATTACCACAGTGTGATTAACCAGGTGCAAAAAAATTTTATTCGATAAAGAAAAATCACTAATGAAATAAACAACAAGTAGAATTATCTGGCTGCGTATAGTTTTCGAGAAAAAAAATATTTAAAACTCGTTATTTTCACTAAGAAAGTCCTCCATTTTGTTATTGACAACATGTTAGATATAAAGCTACTAAAAGAATTTTTGTTAAAAATACATACATATTTGAAGTCGCACACTTTTCCAAATGATAATGTCGCATGAATAAAAAACACTGACGCTTCTTCGTCTTTGGTTTAATTATTATATTGTAACATTTAAAAACTTTCATATTAAATAAAAACACGTCTTGTCCACACTTTAAACAAACAAAACTTTTTACAAGAACACCACGACGACACAAAAAAATTGAAAAGTACTGAACGATCTGATTGAGATTCTAATAAAATTTTATAAAAAATAAAACATAAATTACAATACGTACATAATTCACTAGTGCGAGTAGACGCGCACATATTATCCACCATTACAAATTACAAATACAAATATTAAAGAGGAAATTGATAAGAGCGGGAAATACTTATCTTTTTAAATTTAATATATGATTAGGTACTCAAATATCAATACAGCCAATATGCTAATATCGATTTCGGACTTGATTACAAATTTTATAAAATCTTTATAATCAATAGTATAAATTAATTTCATGTCTATTTAACACAAATTAATAGGTTTTTTCGTAATTGCACATTTTTATATATCAAGAAGCCTTATCTAATTAAGATTAATAGTGATTTTTTCTTTAATTTTTTTATTAAAATTACGAAGATTTTTCTTTTTACATACGAAATATTCACCTTTCATAAATTTCATATTTCTGGCCGTGGAAGAATCAAATTTAATTATGAATTAATAATTATTATTTCATTATTAAATTTGACTCTTGCACGTGCTTCGCCAGAACACTCGCTATGTCGCCCCTGAGTGACGCTTCACCCACTCGGCCTTCGCTCCGCTACGGATCTCGGCAGTCACAGATCCGACACAGTGCACCCCGGCTCCATGTGGTCTTGTGGTCCCTACCCCTAGAGTGAACATAAAAAGGCGGAGCCAGAACCTGGCTGTTCCAGCCAGAACCAGAGTGTTCTGGCGAAGCACATGGGAGAGTCAAACTTAATAATGAAGTCATATTTTTTTATATTCTTTTTTTTTTTTATATTTTTTATATTTTTGATTTTCATTTATTGAAATTACAAAGCTTTTAAAATCTACATCTTTAATATTTTTTTGTTGTTTTATGTAAAAAAATATAAGAAATATTCAAAATTTATTACGTCATTGTAAAGTTTGACTCTCCCACGTGCTTCGCCAGAACACTCGCTATGTCGCCCCTGAGTGTCGCTTCACCCACTCGGCCTTCGCTCCGCTACGGATCTCGGCAGTCACAGATCCGACACAGTGCACCCCGGCTCCATGTGGTCTTGTGGTCCCTACCCCTAGAGTGAACATAAAAAGGCGGAGCCAGAACCTGGCTGTTCCAGCCAGAACCAGAGTGTTCTGGCGAAGCACATGGGAGAGTCAAACTTAATAATGAAGTCATATTTTTTTATATTCTTTTTTTTTATATTTTTTATATTTTTGATTTTCATTTATTGAAATTACAAAGCTTTTAAAATCTACATCTTTAATATTTTTTTGTTGTTTTATGTAAAAAAATATAAGAAATATTCAAAATTTATTACGTCATTGTAAAGTTTGACTCTCCCACGTGCTTCGCCAGAACACTCGCTATGTCGCCCCTGAGTGTCGCTTCACCCACTCGGCCTTCGCTCCGCTACGGATCTCGCCGGCTCGCTTCGCTCGCCATCTCGCCCCTTCGCTTCGCTTGGCCTCGCGGGCTTGCGCCACTCAGGACCTCCGACGCGAGGTTCTGGCTCCGCCTTTATATGTTCACTCTAGGGGTAGGGACCACAAGACCACATGGAGTCGGAGTGATCTGTGTCGGATCTGTGACTCATTTGGAATGTAACTCAGTTCATTAATTATCATATATTTATAAAAATCACATATAAAACCATCAGCTTGAGTTACGTAAAGACGAATTTAATTTAAATCACTTTATAATACACCATGGTAACATTAAGGGCTTTTACCAAAAACATTTTATAAAATTTGTAATCGAGTTTTGAAATCGATATTAGCATATTGGCTGTATCATTATTATTGATGCCTAATTGTATGTCAAATTTATAACCAAAAGTATTTCCCGCTCATTTTATATTAATCAAATATGTATATGCCTACATTATTGTATTAGTCTTATTTTTTTAATAAAAATTTATTCCAATCAAAATCAAATCGTTCAGTGCTTTTTAATTTTTTGTGTTATCATAAATTCTTGTAAAGAAATTTGAATGTTTTAAGTGTGGACAAGACAGTGTTTTTTCGGAAGGTTTTTAAATGTGAAAATGTTGACAATAGTAAAATGGCGGATTTTCTTAGTGAAAATAACAAGATTTAATTACGTTTTTTTCTCGAAAACTATAGGTGACTATCAATTTTTTTTTATTGATTACTTAGGTAGTGATATGTCTCTATAGTTATCTGTCGCTTAAATTTTTCTTTTGTTTGCTATATAAAAGTAGTGGGCTGCTGAAATTTTACCAAAAAAAATATTTTTCGAAGATATGAGAAGTCCGCCAACCCGCAGTGGGGCCGCGTGGTCGATGCCCTGATACCCTCAGTATAGGGGCGGCCTTTGCCCAGCAGTGGGACCTGTATAGGCTGTTAGGTTATCTAAATGGCTGTTAGTGACAGTAACCAGTAATTAGTAGATAACAGTAACATAACCTTGAAGTTATAGCTTGATCATGTCGAGTGGGTGTCATAAATATTTACTTTCCCTTCTTCTATCTGATAAAAATATGAATGTCTTCAACGCAGAGGTATCAGTTTTTAATGGACTGGAAAGTTGATTCATTCAACATAGACTAGCTTGGCTATTTTGCTAAAAATGCAATAGAACGAACGTACTTAGATATATGTGAAGATTTTCGCGCCGTGAGATCATCAGCTGCTTAGCTTGGTTGGTACATCGTCTGGGCACGAAACCATAAGACTCGAACCCACCGTAAGCACCGAAAGTTTTTGTACATTTATCTACAAAAAGTTTTATTTTATAGCTTGGCTTTTAAATTGTGATATGAACGGTGTAATCGATAACAGAAGTAAAGGCGCTGGCAAATCATTAAAATCATTTCCGGCGCAAACCTCTTCTTGGAATGTGAACAATCTATAACTTTTAAAAGTAGTGATGAGTAAATTTTGTTTAGTATTGTCATATCTAAGCAAAAGTAAAAGTAAAATATACTTTATTGTACACCAGTAGAAATAAAGGATTTATAACTATAGACACATGGGTACAACAGGCGGTTGTATCTATTACTTGGTATTGCCTTAGGATTTTGCACGATTCTGGAATACCTCAGTTTTTCCACATCATTCATAACAACGGACATTTCTCAATATAATTAACGTTTGTCGTACGTCTGCAGCCTCCCGCCATGGACTTTCTAATTCATTTTCTTTCTATTGAGTTTTATTCTGCTAATGCGTTTCAAGGTCTATTAGATTTTGCAATTTTCTCTTTGAAGTCGCCATAGTCCAGACAGAGTCTGGACTATGGCGACTTAGCTCGCACATTTGTTAACATTCCATCAATTAACTGAGCGCTTTTCAAAACAGCAATTTTGCACACAAGACTAATTAGAGGAAAATAATAATTATAACGAAAACTCGACATGTTGCGAAAAGAACAATTTGAGTCTATATTTAGTGCTGGTATCCACCGTAAATTACCGGTCATAATAGGCTTGCGAAGAGGTTTATTAGTGAACCCGACATAGTTGAAACTTCAATCTTACATAGAGGTTTTGCAGCTACGTTAATTACTCATAAATAACACAACTCACAAAATAAATAACCATAAAATCTGATATGGGAATATGTTAATAAAATGAACATGCAGGAAAATACACGTTATAGGATTATATTATAACAAGTGACGGGTACATAATCAAAGTTTTTTTTTATGTCAGAACGTGGCAAACGAGCTGGCGGTTCACCTGATGTTAACTGATAACCACTTGCCCATGGACATTACAACACCCTTAACTTTGCAGATGCGTTGCCACCTCTTAATAATGTGGGCCCCAGATGAAACTCACCAGATGAAACGCAGAAGTGCAACACTTCTACTTTTTCACTTCTACGTTTTTTCCTTCAACAGTCTAGTACAGCAGATCTAGTTTAAATTTTGGACGGTGCACGCAAGAACATTGTTTCATTCCGTCCTCCACTTTCATCATCGGATATCAAGAATATTGGCATGCCTCCTCCCTTGTTATTTCCGTATCGCAAGAAAAAAGCTGTTATTTAGAAATTACAAACAGACACCTCAATATCATCTATTATTATAGATATAACTAAATCGTCTGGTTGAACGAAGGAAGTGAACCATCAAGCGAATTTGCCGCGGCTTGCGTCATATCGTACCAAACCTACCTGCTAATTATCATGTAGGATGGTAGTCAAGCAATAATCAGTACAAATTAACACACTTGAACATATGGGTTTCGCTGTAAAATTGCGAGCTAACTGTGGTAGCCTTCACTGTTGCATGAATGGGCACGTCCGTCCGGATAAATACAATGACCTCACAGAAGACAGGCGTGAAGTAGAAGTGTTATACCTCTGCGTTTCGACTAGAGTGAGGTAGCCGGCGTATACTTTAGTAAATGGTGGCAGCGCATCTGCAAATTTACGGGTGTTGGAAATGTTACTGAGCGGCGGTTATCAATTAACATCCATCGTGAACCGCCAGCTAGTTTGCAGCAACCTCACACAAAAAAAGAACTTATGTGTCGAAACACCGAATGGAGGAGAATTACACAAATTATCTTTACCGTATACGAGACAACAATTTAGAAAGTTTCTCAGCAAATTGCTTAAATAATGTAGAATGTTAATTTACGATGTATAAGTTTTCCAATTAAATATTCGAATTTATACGTCTGAGGGGGTCTAAAATGAAATACAATCGGCAGGCTTTGCGCGAGAAGGAGAAAGGCGACTGGCGCCAATTGTGCTGTGAGGAGAAGAAGGCTCTGTACCGAGCTTCCTTCTGCCAGACCTTCGCCGAGTTCCAGGCGCCCACTGGCACGTGGAAGTTCATCGTCGGCTGGACCCTGATAGTCACCTCGTTCATGTTCTGGATGGCGATGTTCTACCACCATTATGGTGCGTGATGCTCTCCAGTCTCTACGAGCTTTCCCTTGATATTTTCATCCTCATTTAGCATACCTTTTCCCAAGGAGGGTTGACGTCAGGCAGGCGGCCGGTCGTTAAAACCTAGCAAAAATCACTTACATGATTCACATATAGTACCGACCCCACCGAGGTAGGATTAGGGCAAGTGGATGATAAAAGTCACTAGTCAGGTCAGAGAAATAACCCGATACTGAAGATAACTTGGACAAAAATAAATTATTTAGTAAAACACAATAGAAACAAGTATACAGCGTGTCGTTACAATAAATGCGACAATAAATGAACACACATATAGGGGATAACTTTTTAAAGTTGTATTTAACATTTAAATTCTTTAAACATCAATATTTACAGAGTTATTAAATTTTACAAAACAAAGAATTTTAGAACACCCTTACCTATAAAAGCGTAACGTAAAGTTCATTTTTAAAGGTCACAAAGCATATGAATGGGTTGAATGAATTTAAAAGAGACAAAACATACTGTTAGAAGGAGAGGCTGGTAATCCGACGCTGTGGCGCGAGTTGTATAGGAAGTTACAAATTTTGTTTCTTTTTTACTTAATTAGTTTGTTTGAAAAATATTTTTTTTAATTATGGATTTTGTTTAACGTTAATACTTTTTTTTTATTATTGGCAAGTAGCGTTAAACGTGTCTTCATTTATTGTCGCGATGGTAACGACACGCTGTATATGCATACTACGTTTGTTGATAATTTCGTAAAGCGACAGGTGGAAACTTAACCAATCCCAATTGAAGATTTTTCGTATGTGAGTGGTAGGCAAGCAAGTGGTTTACCTGATAAATCCTGTGGGAGAACCACGTTACTAGTTACGCTGTTGCACGAATGGGCAGATTCTTCACGGGAAGCACTATATGTGAACTGTGCAACAAATGAATTTGTGGCGGTGAAGAAGTGTTTAGTCCTCGCATCTTGTCAGGTGAGTGGGGTAACCGGTAAACTTAAAGTTTACCAACGCTTCAAAAACCCCATAGGTATTGTAGTTTCTTGATCATTGATGGTCCTAATCATTTGACATCATATGTCACTGGTAATGCAATTTTCAAAACCATAACTATGTAAAAAGGGAAAAAGTAAAGTAATAACAAAAGCTTATACATGTCCCACTGCTGGGCAAAGGCCTCCACTGAGCAGAGGGTATCAGGGCATAGTCCAACCCGCGACCCCACTACGGATTTACGGATTTCACATATCTTCGAGATATTTTTTTTTGTTAAACAATTTCATTGGTGCGCCGTTACCGGGGCTCGAACTCGTGTTGCTCGAGTAAATTGAATTAAAGGCGAGCCCCCGGTCACTGAGCTATTACGGCTCTAGGTTACATTTAATACATTGACAAAAAGTATTGCTTCTCAAGAAAATTATACTAGTTGAGGTTCGTCTCCGATATACAACGTCCTTATAAACGTTACGATACTGAAAAAAGTAACAACCGAATTGTATCAGTTTTATGTAGAAACTGGCTGTTGCAATCATAATTTGGGGACATCAAGAACAACGTAAGCAAGCCTATTTTTTTTTATTTGTGCCGACAAACTGAGCAATGGAATGTTATAAATCTTTGATAAGAACACATTGTACAAAATTAAAATATGCATTTTTCTTACGTGAATATAATTGATCTTAATAGAAGTAAGAAGTGCGAATGGAAGTAATTTCGACGTTAAATAAAAAAAGTTCTTGTCGTGTGACGGGAGGTGGGAGATGGCAGTCAGTGCGTGCAATTATAGATATAATTAGACGCATTCAAAACCACCGGTCGTAAGTGGTCCTATTTCCAAACAAAGTACGCGTCTAAAATAATTGAAAATTTGCTTCTGTAACACTCGAATTCCCCCTTAGGATTACAGCTGATTACAACGCCTTGGCTAAATAGACGTTTGATGACCGACAGGGTGTTTTATACAGCGTGTCGTTACCATCGCGACAATAAATGAACACACGTCTAAAGCTACTTGCCAATAATCATAAAAAAATGTTAACGTTAAACAAAATCCATAATTAAAAAAAAATATTTTTCAAACAAACTAATTAAGTAAAAAAGAAACAAAATTTGTAACATCCTATACAACTCGCGGCACAGCGTCGCATTACAAGCCTCTCCTTCTAACAGTATATTTTTTGTCTCTTTTTAAATTCATTCAACCCATTCATATGCTTTGTGACCTTTACAAATGAACTTTACGTTATAGTTTTATACGTAAGGGTGTTCTAAAATTGTTTGTTTTGGAAAATTTAATAACTCGGTAAATATTGATGTTTAAAGAATGTAAATGTTTAATACAATTTTAAAAAATTATCCTCTATATGTGTGTTCATTTATTGTCGCGGTGGTAACGACACGCTGTATATTTACTCCTCTGTCACTCATCTAAACGTATTTATCATTGACGTCGTAGTGAACGATCCGCTCCCGCCCTCGTTCTCGAAAGCCTCCCAGAAGGCGCAGCTGCGGCGGATGCTGGAACTACGGGTGAACCCAATAGACGGCATCTCCTCCAAATGGGACTACGACAACGACAAGTGGAAGTAAAGGTGGGATCGAAATAACGAAATATGTGTATACTTAAATATGCAGCCATTGGCAATGACTACATTAAGACCTTATGATATATATATGCAGCGTGTCGTTACAACCGCAACAATAAATGAAGACACGTCTAACGCTACTTGCTAATAATCATAAAAAAATATAAACTTTTCAAACAAACTAATTAAGTAAAAAATAAATAAAATTTGTAACATCCTATACAACTACATCTGACAGATTCATACATTCAGAGACTTTTTTATTCTTTGCCACAGCGCCGCATTACAAGCCTCTCCTTCTAACAGTACGTTTTGTCTCTTTTAAATTCATTCAACCCATTCATATCTATACTTTGTGACCTTTACAAATGATCTTTACCTTACAGTTTTATACGTAAGGCTGTTCTAAAATTGTTTGTTTCGGAAAATTTAATAACTCGGTAAATATTGATGTTTAAATAATGTAAATTTTTGATACAATTTCAATAAGTTATCCTCTATATGTGTGTTCATTTATTGTCGCGTTGGTAACGACTCGCTGTATATATATAGATACTGCACTAATTGATATTAAGAAAACCGAGGGTTAGAGTTGCGCTGTCAACCCGTAAAGGTTGGGCCTAGGTGATGTCACAGACAGGGCGAAATGCCAAAGTCGAAATGCTGCTGAATCTTACGCTGGTACTCCATGAAGCTTCCACACCTTCCAATGGTGCCGAAGTCTCTAATCATGGACACGGATTTCGAAAAAGTGGTTTGTATATTATTTTAGTAGTTTAGCGAATAGTTAATTGATGTCTGGTTAAGTTGATGCAGTGAACTTGAGTAGTACTTGTAACAAAAAAAAAATAGATAATTCTTTACTATACTAAACGTCAAATTATAAAAGAAATAAAAAAAATATATTTTTAGGACTATTCATACACAACGTTAACTAGTCACAAACTAAAAAGCAAAGCTTGTACTATGAGTAATGGGTAACCGATAAACATTCTTAAACATACCTTCCCTTTGTAAATACATACATATTATAGATATAAAAACATCTAAACACTCAAATAACACGAAACAATTCCATCCATTATCGAACACCTCATAGGACATGAGGCAGTTTCGCTATCCCCTACGCCTTTTGTCGTCAGTCTTTTGTCTCCCAGCAATTTCTTTTAGAAACGTAAAGCAATCTGCTTGTTTACGGGTCGAAATTTAATGTTCGACCCGTAATACTTTATAAACAATATTATTGTACTTTAATTGGCGACCCGATTGGCGTGGGGAGTGGTGACCCTGCCTCTTGCGCCAGAGGGTGCGGGTTCGATCCCCACTACTGGAGAAATATTGTGTGATGAACAGCGTGTTTTTCCAGTGTCCGGGTGTTTATATATGTATAATATATATTTATCAGTTTCTCTAGTACCCATAGTACAAGCTTTGCTTAGTTTGGGACTAGAGAACGTTGTGCAAAAGATGTGTCCGATATTATTATTAACTATTTACTATTATTATTAATTTGTGCGATGTATTAATTAATATTATAATGAACCTTGTTAAAAGACCTTTTTTTTGCAGAATTAAGCGCAATTCCCAAATCGGAGGTGACAGCTGAGGTCCTCCTTCATAATATTAATCCATGTTAACCTTCAATTCGATTATAGTTTAATTTAAAGCATAGTTGAATTGTTCATTAAAAATTGTTGTCAAAAAGTCTAATCTTATTTCTAGCTAATATTATAACAGTTTTTTGTGACAAAGTGGCAAATGAGCTGGCGGTTAACCTGATGTTAAGTGATAACCGCCGCCCATGGACATTTGCAACACCCGTAGGGTTGCAGATGCGTTGCCACCTTTTAATAAAGTGGGCCCCGGCTACCTCACTCACCGGACGAAACGCAGAAGTGTAACGATTCTAATTCACGCCGGTCTTCTGTCAGCTCGTGGTACAAACCCAGACGGACCTGCCCTACCTCAATACATTAACATTACATATTAATCAAAACTTAAACCACCGACTTGGTGTGAATATAGTTTAACGAATATAGTTTAACGATAAGCAATGTTATACAATGGTACTAAGGCAGGGGTGAGCAACCTTTTTAATCAATGGGCCAATTTAAATTTTAAATTTTTTTGGCGGGCTGCACATAATAATTTACGAAACTTTATTTATAATAAATATTAGAATAAAAAAATATAAAATTAAAAAAAGTAAAGATTTCATATACAAATTTTAATGCAAGTTAAAAACAAACAAGAAAAGAAACAAACAGAAAAACGAACAAAAAATATTTTGGTTCAGTATGTACGACCATTTTATTATAATTAATTTTATAACACTATATTTATGGGAGAAATTCGATAAAATTAATTCAATTTTAGAAATGCTTGGCGGGCCGCATAAACATGTTTAACGGGCCGCGCGTTGCTCATCCTTGGATTAAGATATTAAATACGCGAGACATTGGGGATACTATAAAAATGTGCTTGTATAAGATATCGCCACAGGTTTAAGATGTTTCAATCTGGCAATCTGGTCCTCTGTAGGAATCGAACCCACGACCCGCTACGCCGAAGCCAACACCCTGACAACTGCGCAACGGCAGAGCAGGATGCCTGGCCAGCGTAGCGTGAAATTAGAAAACGCTAAAGTATAAATATGGGTCGGCGAACAGCTGAAACTTAGTTTCTAAACACTAAATCGCTCGAATAAAATAATGAAGTGCGCAGTAAGTTCACGTTTTTTTATATGTGTGTGTGTTTTGTGTGTCTGAATTCAATGAGACAGCTATCACCTTTTTTTAAAACTTAGTCGTGAGGGGGAATTAAGAAAGTTATAGCGTTAATAACTTTTATCAATTAAAATTTTGTTTAAAAAAGATGTCAAAAAAATTAAAGATTAATGAACTTAAATTATTTAATTTATTACCTATGTAGTCTGTCAATGCCAGGATTTCAACTAGCGCCTTGCAGATTACGCCTATAGACTGTCTGGTTTTGTTTTTGGTTTTCCAACACAATATCTGAGCTGAGAAAGTGGCAAAAGAGTTGGCGGTTCACCTAATGTTACATGATAACCGCCGCCCATGGACCTGTAGGGTTGCAAATGCGTTGCCATCCCTTAAAAGTAGGTTCCGATTATCACACTCACCAGACAAAACGCAGAAGTAAAACGCTTGCACTTGACACCGGTCTTCTGTGAGATCGTTTACTTCCCCAGACGGACCTGCCCATTCGTGCAACATCGAACACTGTTTCATGACCCTGACAGTGAACAGTTATATTTCGACCCATAACTTTCTGTGTCATAAACAGGTATTATTTCGTAAACAAGTATTATATTAGCGTAAGTCTTAAAAATCTGTTGTCAACGAGAATTGAATAGGAAGTTGAAAATTTCATGTAACTTACACCCTGTAACAGAAATGTTACTTATTTGTGGCAGAGTCAAAAAACTACAAAGGTAGCTTTAAAAAACAATGTTTTTAATATTTTGTCTATACGTATGATGTATTCATATATAACTCATTATTCCAATTACAAGTTCCACCTTCATTTTCACAACCTAAAACTCTAAAGCCCGGTTTCCGAAACACTGACCATCGTAGAAATCAACTAATCAGCTGTCAAATGGCTTTTCAAATGTTATTTGAGTTGCCATAAGGATTGTTAAACTCAAAATGATCAATTCAGTGAGTTTGACCGCCCTTTTGGCAACTTAAATAACATTTGAAAAGTCATTTGACAGCTGATTAGTTGACTTCTACGATGATCAGAATTTCAGAAACCGAGCGTAATTGTGGCATAAAGAGTTGTTTTGTTATATATACATCTTGTGAATTTTATACATATAATTTGGGACATATTAGAACTGTTATCTATCTATGTTGTCTGTTATCTGTCTGCTTATCTAAGAATATTATTTTTCAGGTGGCCATTGTCCTCGCCTTGTTTGGGTTGGCGGTAGCCAATCCCGTCGGCCATGGTAATCTATTTGGTTTTTATAAATACTGAAAGATTCGTAAAACACGTATAGACTAATCAAAATATTCAACAACTAAAACATAACAAGAAACCAAAGTTCAAAAATAATAAAATAACACAAAAGCTGTTTCAAAACCATGCTGACAATATATGCAATTATATCTCGACAGCAAACATTATTGCTAAAGCCTAGCCAATGAGGTTTAATACAGATGACGAATCTCCATACTGCGCGACGTTTATAATTGTTCCGCTTTACATTAAGTGACATTTATAAGTGAATGTGACAGATGATATAGAACGTATGATACGGAAAGAGATAGCAGTGTATAGAATTGAAATTATATACAAATACCTCGTATTTGTATGTAATATCATTGGCTAAAGCTAAACTAAGTACAAAAAAAACGGTTTTTATAACAACTAATGCACAATAAAGTGCAAATTTAAAAGTTATCACTGGTGCTAATTTTTTTTTGTGCAACTAAACAATCTGAAAGTTAAAAGTTAAATCCTGAAATATCAACAATGTCATAAAATAGGGAGAAACAATCACCTAGCAATAGCCACTGATATTTTGAACTCAAAATTTTAGAACCAGCAACAAACGGTCGAATATAAGTGAGTTTTACAATCTTATCACATATGCCACTGATTAATATCTCAGCAGATTGAGCGACCTTATTGCCTATTTCGATAGAAATATTTCTATTACTATGGAAAACATCGTCATACTTAGGGCAAAATCAAGAGTACGACAATTTCGTAATTCAGTTTAAAAGTTTTTGATATTTGTCTTTATTAAAAATACTCTGATTATATACACGTCTTAAAGACCTAATAAATAACTTAAACAACTTTACCAAGATGTACACAACAAATATGCCAAAAATGTCACGCCGATGTTTGTTATAGCCCAAGCTAAATCACAGACTAAAGGCCCATTTACACGATGCCATTTTCTTGAACATACAAGAGCAATAATTGAATGCAATAAATTGCGCGCAATAATTGTTTAGACCATTTGTTGTTTAGACCATGCAACTCATTTATTGCTTCAATTTAATTGTATACAACAGGCAAGGAACTGGCACCATGTAAATGGGCCTTTAGATTAAGTTTACCAGGCAGCTATTACCAATATCAGTTTAATCACTTCAATCACCACCTAGACATAAAAATATGCCTTATTTGGTGACTAGTTGAACACATTACAAATCATCGATTGGTAATATTTAGTATATTACCATTCGATGATTTGTAATGTGTATGTATATAAGTGTATTGGTATGTATATAAGTGTTTAAAAAAATCTCAGTCTACTTAATGGATTGCAATATCATAAATTCTTTCAAATACATTTTAAAACGTTTTTTAGGCCAAAGGATAAAACTGGACCCTATTACTAAGACTTCACTGTCTGTCTGTCCGTCTGTCACCAGGCTGTACCTATCTCATGAATCGTGATAGTAAGACAGATGAAATTTTCACAGATGATGTATTTCGGTTGCCGCTATAACAACAAATACTAAAAAATAGAATAAAAAAATATTTAAGGGGGTCTCCCATACAAATGACATGACTTTTTTTTGCCATTTTTATTGATAATGGTATGGAACCCTACGTGCTCGAGTCCGATTCACACTTGGCCGGTTTTTTAACCGACTTCAAAAAAAGAAGGAGGTTTTTCAATTCGACCGTATATATTTTAAACCGACTTCAAAAAAGAAGGAGTTTTCTCAGTTCGCCCGTATATATTTTTATTTTTTTATTTGTGTTCGCGGATAAGTTCGTTATTTATGAACCGATTTTGATGATTCTTTTTTTGTCGGAAAGGAGATATCCCAATGGTGGTACCATGATAAGGAAACCAGGATCTGATGATGGTATCCCAGACAAATTGAGGGCAATACTCAAATGTTATAGGTGTTGACAATGTTCTTAGTTTCCTGTTTGAAGTCGTTTTCTGTTTGTTCAAAATTATTATCGTTTATAATAATACCACAATATAAAAAGGCGGAAAAATCTCATTACAGTAAAGGTGTTCACCGCGAAGAGGTCCTTACGCTTTAAGAGGTTAAACCACCAGCACCATACTTTGATCCAGACTCCAACACGACCGTAGCCTAGAGCTACCTCGCTGTTGGCTTGCACAACCCCAACAGACCTTCCTGAAGTGGTTCTTTCGCAGTATACCTGACATCTCTTTCAATATGAACAAACATGGTGTTACTCGATCCATGCTCCGTCCTTTCCATAGCGGGCCTAAGAAGTTGTGAATGGCCAGAACAGGTCAAATACCTAGCCAAGGATGTGGTAAAATCCTGGTAAACTAAAACGTATCCCTTCACCTTTACTACTAGATGTTTCTCCCCCTAGTGGTTAAGTAAGGTAACAATTAAGTATACAATTAAATGAATTTGTATATCTTGAATCGACATCAGATATAGTATTTGGCAATACTTTACACAAGTCGAGAGGTTTGTACTATTTGTACTATTCATCGAACCTGTAACAAAACTATAGCTTTACGGAATCTATGTATATTTTAATATTCAATAAAATATTTACGAGTTGTGCGGTTTTATTTCACTATAATCTAAAGTTACTTATATATGTTATTGTTATATAAATTCAGTGCGTGATATTCGACGCTCTTCTGGTATATTTTAATTGAAATATAAAAAATTATAATCATAAATCTTTATGAATTAAATATAAAATTTAAAAAACAAAATGAAGCTCACAAAATACAGTACAGTTGCGTTAAGTATCCTGTTTAGTATAAATCGTGTTGCATACTCGCATGAAGAAGCTTTGAACGATTTGACAGACTCTTCCGATGACAGTAAGTTTCTGCATGGTTATTGGGGTTAGAGAGAGATAGCTATAGCGTTGATTATCCTGGCCCATTAATTCTAAAACATGGTAAATCTAAGATTCCGCACATGGCACCAATGTAACTCAGTGATTCTTGCACGGAAAAGTCTGAATGAACGGGAATCCGATTGGTTCGTGCCTCTGTTTCGTCTATCACGGACTTTAAAAAACTGTCGAGACTACGACTAGCTTTTAAATTTTAGCACACCGATTTGCTTGCGTTTTTTATTTTGTAATACATCAATCTTTACTTAAAGACTAAAAATATAACCAAAAATATTTGCATGTTTCCCAAACGAATAGTCTGTGTCACAGTTCCTCCGCTGCAGCACAAAGCAAGAACGTTGACGTATTGACGTATATTAAATATTAGTAGAAAATGCTGAAGCATGAAGGAAAAACAACGTGAGAGAACCTGCGAAATAATAGTAAAATATATAGAGCCGCGGGAACCATTCTGGGGTAATACCATCGTTATAGAGAAAGCCTGCGCCCATCAATCAGACAGTGAATAGGCTCCAATGGGAGAACCTACATGTGCTAACGAGAGAGGCAAAGTATTCGCAACACCACTGCAGCAATCACGGGTGGTGGTTATAGCTTACCAAGGGAACAGTTTTCTGAAGCTTTCTTTTACATTTCATTAACTGTGGAAGGGCCACCCACGCAGCAGTCTTTTTTGTTGCACGAGTGGGCAGGCTCGATCGGGTAAGAAGCACTACCTCACAGAAGACCGACGTGAAGTGGAAGAGTTACTCGTCTGCGTTTCGTCTGGTGACTGAGGTAACCGCCAGTCATCACCTACCATCAGGTGAACCATCAGCTCGCTTGGCCATAAAAAAACTCCAAAAGACCAATAAGTAAATATTACTCTGCTTCTTAGTGGAATTGGAGCCGCTGCGTAGAAACGTAAACGACAAATCCGAGCACGGTCTGCCAATAGACTTGTCCCCGTCGAGTCTCAATGTCAAAGTTCCGAGATCGAAGAAATTCACGACGGAGAGCGCAACCACAAGTAAATTCACAACGACAAACTCACCCATTCACCAAAGCTCACATTATTAATAATAATTCTCATAAACTTGGTATAAATAATGTTCCTAAATTTATTAAAATAGCCCACGTTAGCAGGATGTGGCATTTTCAAACCAAACCACTGCCCTCCGATCTTTGTCTTTATAGAATGACGCGCAGTCAAATTGAATTAACAATGAGGTTTTTTTTTATTATACACCAGAATAGCTCGCAGATGGTATAATTTTTTCCTACTTACTTGACACTTATCGTTATATTCTGGACTATTCACACAATGTTCTTATAAATTATTGCTTATGTGTTATTCTGATGTACAAACTATATTATTGTAAAGTTTCTTAAAAATCTATTCAGAAGTTTTTACGTGAAAGAGTAACAAACATCCGTGCGTACAAACTTTCGCGTTAATAACATTAAAATGCAGCGACCGTGAGGGCGGCGACCATTTCGGGGCCTCCCCTCAGCAGGCGCTACCGGCGCATCTACAACCCCGACGAGTCCGCCAACGTCTCACAGTTCCCCTTCATGGCGGCGCTGCTGATGAACGGCCAGCTGTGGTGCGGTGGCGCCATCATCGTCAGCGACGCGATCCTCACGGCCGCCCACTGCTTGCAACTGTGGGTTCGAAGCCAGACATAAAATGATGACACTCTGGAAATGGCCTCATCACTCCGGGCTCTTGCGAGTTGAGAGCTCGTCAATGTGTTGTAAACATGTTTTCACTGTCATATAATAGGAAGAAATTGGTCCCGCTGAATTTTTTTTCTCCTGTCAAATAATGGAAAAAAATTGTCCCGCTGAGTTTCTTTTGTCAGTTCTTCTCAGTGGCCTTTCTTTTCTGAACCGGTAGAAGTAGAGTTTTGACAACCAATAAATAAGTGCAATGCAATATTGAATAAAGATGTTTGGATTAGAAAAAAGAATAGACCTGGCCTATATAAATGCTCTTATAAAAATGCTTTAATTTAATGCAATAACACCTTACATAATAGCTGGTGCTTCGCATAGGCTAGGCCGACCGGGGAATAACCACGGCCATACAAAAGACTGCTGAGCGAAAAAACCCTCTTGTCACCACCCGCGGCGATACTGATAAAACTAGGACTTAAATCTTTCTAAAATTCCAATGTACTAATGTTATTTAAATTCGATATGAGCATTGAAGTAGTTTACCAACTGAGCTTACTGGTGGGGGATTCATTGCCATAGTTAATGTTTTATCAGCGCTATTAAGTTACGAAGCGAAACTACAACGGCGTTACTAATCGTACAGCTTTTCCAATGCAAAAATGTGAAAAGCTGTCAAGGGAGCATGAGTTCACGTGATGTTAAGTGAATATCACCTTGGACATCCGCAACACCCAAGGGTTTCTAGATGCGTATACAACTTCTTAAAAAATGTGCCTCGACCCTTTGTTTGCCTCACTCAACGTTTCATTTGACATTCCACCAATCAATACAACAACCGCTTCTTCCGTGAGTACGTCAGGATGCTGACGGTCCGCGTGGGCTCAAGCAACGCGACTTCCGGCGGCGAACTGTACAGGGTCACTGACCTCTTCTTCCACCCCAACTACAAGCCGAACACCCTTGAATTCAACTTCGCGGTGGTCAAGCTGCACAAGAACATATCTATGGGGCACGATTTGGACGCCGACGTGATACAGTACTCGCGGGAGAGGGTCGTCCCCACCGACACGCAAATCGCCTTCCTCGGATGGGGTTCCGTATTGGTAATTTCTTTGTATAATCAAATCCTAAATAACACAGATGTCTGGACATATTTTACACAACGTTGCCTAGTCCCAAATTAAGGTAAGCTTGTACTAGGAGTATATTTTTAACAAATTTTTTTATTCAATGGTGGATATCGACCCTATACCTTCCGGCGTAATAAGCACTTGCTCTTTTCGGTTCATCAAATAAATAATGCACAACACATAAACATACAGACAGTAGGTCTTATAGAACAGGCAACAAAATTATCATACCTGAGTTCGGACAACTGATACAACTTTCAAAGTCGTGAATCAATTGCTTTGTGTTCATTGACAATTTCATTGATCATAGACGTTCATACTTACTTTCGATTTCTCGCTCTGAAATACGGTCTCGCAGATCGGAAACTGCCGTACTACAAGTACTATCCGGAAGCCGTGCTCGAAAATGACTGCGCCAGGCTCTATTGGGACAGGACGATTCTAGCGAACTAACTTGATATCGTATTGATGGACCGCGCCCAGTCACGGGTATTTTTGGTTGACATTACCATTCCATATGACGAGAACCTCGTGAAAGCCGAAACAGATAAGAAGACGAAATATCTGGACCTGGCTCACGAGGTGACCGACATGTGGGGTGGTGTGTTGACCGAAATTATACCGATAGTCGTTTCTGCAAATGGGTTGATCCCAGTCAGCCTCTTCGAACATTTGAGGCGACTGGGACTCCGGGACGGATCGCTCCAAGTTCAAATGCAGAAAGCGGTGCTCCTCGATACCGCCCGCATCGTCCACCGGTTTCTCTCCCTTTCGCCCTAACCCTCGGCCGTTTGGTCTCCCCTGCCGAGGGCTTCCGTCTGGTTGGGTCCTATTTATTTATGTATATTATATAATATTTATATCTATATGTGTATTTTTATTTATAATATTTATGTTATATATGAAATGTATATCTATATGTTTATTTTTTATTTATAAACCCAAACAGACGAGAAAACAAATGAATATCCCCAAAAATAATAATAAATATTCTTTATTGCACACCAAAATTAAATATTCAAAAACAAAAACTTAAAGTTTAAATGATAGGTACAATGGGCGGTCTTATCACTAAAAGTAATTTCTTCCAGGCAACCCGCCATAACGCCATAAATCAAATAGTTTCATTTAACTTTATGTATGCACAAGTTAAAGTTCTACTTTAATAAGTAAGTAGGTATATCAACAAACATTACTTACAAAATATTCACATTATACACGTAGTTATCTAAGGAATATAAACTTTTGGGTTCTTTCAAAGATAGCTTTAACCTATTGGAGTTCCTAAGCAGTAAAATAATGGGTCCCTTTGCTGTCGGAAAAAAGGGGCCCTAAGCCAGAAAATTCTGACACGAACTTCAAGCTCCTAATGTGAGGATCTAAATTTTAAGATAATTTTTAATTCTATTACATGCTTTTAAAACTAAGTAGAAACATAAATCAATTCTTTTATCTTTATAAAACACAACAGTCTTCTATGTTGCACGAAGGGGCAGGTCCGTCCGGGAAGTACCGCGACCTCGCAGAAGACCGGCGTGAAGTGGAAGTGTTATGATTCTGGGTCCACTTCACTAAGGATGCATCATTTGCAACCCTAGGGGTGTTGCAAATTTCAATGGGCGGCGGTTATCACTTAACCTCTGGTGAACCGTCAGCTCGCATGCCACCGTCTCACACATAAAAAAAGATTTCCTCAAATGCATTCCCTGCAATGGGCACTTGCCCAGAGTAATCAATGGAGGATGGGTCTAATTATTTGATAACCTTAATGATTTTCTTATTTAATCTCCAATGTAACAAACAGATCCGTATCCTATACTAACATTTTAGGGTAGTGGCGATATCGGGGACCAAACTCTGCTCCAGAGAGTGACTCTACCAGTGTACGACTTGACAGATTGCCAAGAAATCTATGGACGGTGAGTTCAGAAATAAATGTATTAACGATAGATGTTAAGCCCCAAAAGTTATTTATAACCATAAAAAGTTATAAGTAACTAATGCCCGTTTTCACCTTTGAAACCTCAAACGCTCCCTTACTAAGGTTAAGGGCCCCAGCCTCAGCCCGTCACCAAAATTCATTTTCACCAAATTACGCTTACCGCTAAGACTTAAGAGAATAAAATCTTAAGAATAAGGGCTCCGCTCACCTAAAGATGACGCTTAAGCGGTAGGGAAAACAGAACTAGTGCTTAAATTTTTAGGGGGTTCCTCAAAGTTAGGGGTCGATGGAGAAAACGGGCATAAGTCATACCTACAATGATGTTCATTCTAATTATTTCAAATAATTTTTGGGACATTCATATTTTTGCTACGCAAATAGTAGATTAATCTACGATGTTGAATACTTTATATATCTATGAATAACATTAGTTTGATCCCCATACGGTACAGTAAATTGTGTATTTCATAAATTATTGTTCCAAATGTGGGTGTGTTGTGTTTTTTCCTATTTTATTCCTAGTGTGCGAATCATTTAAAAAATTAGGTTAATATAACTATATGTTCGCATGTAAGAAAATATACTTCTTTAACGCAACAAAAGAAAAAGACATAAATGCAATTGATAACGGTTTTATTAAATTATTTATCTTGTTATTATTGGTAAATGTCAAAAAGATATTATTAGTCGTCATGGTAATAAAGTGAAGTTGGTCGCTTTGCAAGCAACTTCATCATGTTGCTTTTTGGCTGTCTGGCGTATCATAAAAATTTAACTCTCATATTTTTTCCAAACGCGACAAAAGAATTATAACTGCAAATGAAACAAAAATTTGCACACGGAGGAAATAAACCGCAAGTACTTTTATTTCTCATCCACAAGTTTATCTTTTTAAGAAGATCAGAGATGTAAAAAATAAAATCACACACTACTCCGTAGCACAAAATTTTATTTACTTTTACCATACCTTAGGGATATAGTAACGAGAGGCAATTTCTGCGCTGGATATATCACTTTACCGAAGAATGTTTGTAATGTGAGTATAATCTCAAATTAGTTTAAGAATACGAGTAAGCACCATACTCAGTTAAGGTTACAAAATTTATTGCTGCCTTCATCTACATCACAATAAATAGATTATATTTAGCTCGTTTGTCCATCATAATTTCATTCTGTGGCAGCGCCACGCAACAGACTCCACTAATGCACGAACGAGCAGGTCCGTCAAGAGAAGTAGGCACCCTGATCTCACAGAAGACGGTCGTGAAGTGGAAGTATAATACTTTCGCGTTTCGTCTGGTGAGTGAAGTAGCCGGGGCCCACTTTTTAAAACGTTGTCAACACACCTACAAACCCTCGTGTGTAGCAAATTTCCATGGGTGGCGGCCCGCTCGCTTGGCAACTATTCGCATTAAAAAAATCTGCAATAAGTATCTTTATTAAAACTGACGCCGAGGTATACATTTTTCAAAACCAATGGAAAACGTTAAACATCCATAAAATTCCTTAAAACATAACTTCACTTATTTCGTTAAACACTTTTTTTACGGAAAGCATTTTACCTACTCATAACTATTTGGGAGTATAAATTGAGATCACGCGAATTAACACATCACTGCTGGGCAAAGGCCTCCTCTGAACAGGGTGTATCAGAGCATAGTCCACCACGCGGCCGTACTGCGTATTGGCGGACTTCACATATCTTCGAAATATTTTTTTTATTATTATTTCGAAAATATGCAGGTTTCTTCACGATGTTTTCCTTCACCGCTGAGCACAAGATAATTTTGTGTTTTCTTTTACGTGATTACTGTGTGATAAATCACTAAATGTAATAAAACCAGATTTAGGGCCCACCGTCGTTCTTGAAGCATATTCTTATACCCTAGCACGATGCGGGGGGTCCGGCGATACTGGACGGCAAGCTGGTCGGTATACTGTCCTTCTCGTCGAAGAGGTGCGACCAGCCGGACCAGCCAGCGGTCTTCTCTACGGTGGGCGTAGTCGCAGACTGGCTCGGAAACTTGGGGGAGAAGCGGATGCGGTTACGGTACTCAGCTTTTTTGTAACGACAAGGAATGATGAATGGACAAAACCACTAAGCTTATGGTGGTAGAACTGCCGATCGGCTACTACCCGACTTATGCCCGGTTCCTATATTCAACGAACGGCCGTTAGTTCATAGCTTCGTAACTTTCATAACGACTTGTCGAATAAAGGAACCGGGCATTAGTAACGCCCTTTACCGCACCCGCGACTTATAAGACACCAACTTTAATTGGTTTTGTTCATCTTCAGGTGAAGTTTTTCAGCCATCGCTCTTAAGGAGCCAAATTCTGCAAGACTAATCTATATGCACTCAATCATTCGTCTATGAAAGGCAAAACAGATTTTTTTTACTGTGGTAGGGTGTGGTTTCTACTGTTGCACAAATGTGTACTCTGATCCGGTGAAGTTCCACAGCCTTACAGAAGACAAGTGTGAAGTGGAAATATTATTGTTATATCGGGCTGCAGTAATCACATAAGGTGATCACGACATAAAAAAATATTATAAAGCCTCTCTTCCAGTAGAATGTATTAGACATATTTTTGAGATTATTAACTTTTGTCCTAGATAAGTTTCACTAGTAATTCTTATTTCAATATAATTGTTTGTTTTCAGCACCACAGACATCAAGTCCCCGGTTGGAATTTGAATGTGGAATGCAAATGAAACAATGATTTATTGTTTTAGATCAATAATATATTTGCTCTAATACTGTACACCAGTTTCTACTCGATAAACATGAAGAAAATAAAAACTTTCGAATTCTTCCTTATTAAAAGTTCATATATTTCTATTCAACATACAACATGGAATAACATACAATTTAAGAATAAAACAAATTTAAAATAGTTTTAAAATATGCGTTCATAGCGGACCCCTGGTGTTTATTTTCTTTATATTGGAATGATATCGAGCTGATTTCAATTACATACTTATATTTATTCATGAATACTCAGTTAACAGGGCAAAATAAGCAATGTGTTTCAGTTTATACCGCCAATTTCGCGGCCATTTGCTTTTCCCGCGTCGCGCTGCTGTCAAGTGGACTTTTGAGCGCTTTGCATTATGCCTGATGCCTACAGATTAAAAACATTGTAATAACATTAAAAACTATAATTGTCTTGCGATGAATTTCAAGATGCGAAACGGTTAAAGTATTTCGACTTATTATATGCGGTAGTTGACGTGGAGCTCAGGCTTGATGTCATACACAAGGCCAAGGATGTCTTTGATCACCTGGAAAGTATCAGTTTTAAATAAAATTCATGTTAATGAAAAATAGAAAAATAATATTGGCTCTAATTTAACAATTTATAAAAACTAATGTGTTGATTCACCTAATCAGCAATAGAGACAAAAGAAAATCATCTATCTTCAATAATAACAACCATAAATGAAAGATGAAAATTGAAGATTTTCTATGAATTTAAATAAATGAATAATAAAATTGTAAATAGTCAGGAACCATGTAAGTCAGTGGTGTCGTTGCTGTTATTGGCTTCAGCATTGGGGCCGTGGATTCGATTCCCACACTGGATTTGTGTGACCCACAGATCCAGATCTGGCTGAAATGAGGCAGGCGGCCGCGCGTAGAAAACAGGCAAAATTGCTTAGAACATGATTCAGATGTTGTGCTGACCCCACCTAAATTAGCATTTACTAAGACAAGGATACATGAATTGACATTATAGGACACAATCTCCCAAATCAAGACAAAAAAAGTAAACTTACAGCTTCCTGCTGCATTTTGACCATTTTGTTCATCTCTTCAATCTTCACCTTTGTTTCGGCATCAATCTTAGCAGCAACCCCTTCCCTTGTGCCCATGTGCTACAAATTGTCAAATGTTATAAGTTTATAATTAATTATGTGGGTTTCTTCAAATGTTCAATGTTTTATCTCAAGCTTCATTAGAAGATTCTTTCAATATCAATTCATATCTTTATTTTTAAACAAATATTTAAATACATATTCAACTCGCAAGAAAAAATTTAAAAAAAATGTTTAGAAAAGCTTCTTTTAATGAGAAACATGTGATTTTGATGAAATATATTATATAAGGAGTACATAAGCAGACCTTGGCTTCAAACTCTTTGAATTGCCTTTCACGTTCCTGTCTGTACTTCTCAACCTCATCTTGTGCCTCTTCCTTGGCCTGCTTTAGGCGTTTTGCCTTTCCTGTAAGATTTTAAGCAGATGTTTAGGTAAATATGCATATGCACATTTTATATAGGTCTTAAAACCACACATTGAAAGAAAATAGCAAGTATATCCAATTTGACATCAGTGATACCAATTTAAAACATGTATTATAGGATAACTTCAGAAGTATAGGTTTTAAACATTGAATAAAGTAGTCCTCGAGTTCTTCTTATATTTTTATTACAATATTTCGCTAATTACATGTCTTTTCTTTCCGTCAACGGTGCCAAGAGAATCTGTTCCTTGTACCGCTGTTAAGGCAGTACCCGGAATGCATCATTCACAAGTCTTTATTTTATTGGTTTACGAGTATTGTTTTTAAAATACATAATAAATTAGTTTAGTATTTCTTACAATATTTGTGACAATTAATTACAGCTTTAGTTAAGTCTTTATGAAAAATAAATTAAATATTGGATCCTAATTTAGATTTTAATGTTGCCATATTTCCAAGATATAATGTTGCTATTTTACAAAAGTTTTATTAAACAAATTTATAATTAATTGAAAATATTATAATAGTATACCTACAAAATAAAACTACTTTTCTAGTCAATATAAAATATAAACGCATAAATGGGCTAACAGTATAATGTGTAATACAAAAGATTCTGCACAGTTCTGCTGTATAGAAATCTAACCATCTACAGATATTGTTATACAACATGATAACTTTTTAAACTCTGAATTTTAAAAAATCAACTAATTAAAGAAGAAGAAGGAACCTGATCGATAATTTTTAAATCCAGTTTTCCAGTGTTATTTTAAACTAAATATTGGTATACTTCACCTATGTATTGAGAATTTGATAATTAAAGAATTAAATTGTATTTAAAAATTATATTTACAATGTAGTCAAAACATTATTACACCACCAAATAGCCAATATTAGTCCCCAAAAATTTTGATTTTCTTTATCTTACCTCTTGTAGATTTCAGGGCCACAGTCATGTGACTGCAGCTACGCTCTGGACGTAATTATAGATATCCTACTTTTGAAGATATCTAATTATAAAGATTTAATTATAAAAAATTTCCATTAAAATTCTTCGCTTTTCCATAAAAACTGCGCACAAGCCCACAATTGGCAAGCAAATTTTACGAAATATAATAGAGAATACTTACGCTTCCTCGCCTCGGAGACCTTTTCAGCGGCCCGTTTCTCAGCTGCCAATAACTGTTGGATCCCCTGTGTCTGGCTCGCCATTTCTGATGATACACACAAAAACTATGTCGAGTTACAATCGGGGCCAAGACACAAATCAATAGCTGACTGGGTCGTAAAGAGAAATAGTCATATGATTATTTTAGTTCCAGGATGTTGTCACGATTGGCGCTGTCATCAGCTCGTGCTCTGAACTATATGCGTAAAATGGATAATATTACAATTAAATTTATTCAAATACTCAGCACCTATAACATATAATTGCAAATCTACTTTTAGTCTCAGCTTTTCTTAAAAGACTCTTATTATATGATACCCAAAACTCATGAAAAAGAAAGACGAAAAAAATGTAATATTGCAACTCTAATAAATATTAGGTTGTAACGGAATTTAAAAAAAAATGGTGAAATATAAAACCTTGCAAGTCACAAAAAATTTGTTACTACTTTTTAAAAAAACAATTTCTCATTCAATACATTTAATTATGTTTTACACCAGATGTATTGTTGTGTACATGAGATGTAATAAAATATTTTGATTTTGGTGCTTGTTACTAACTTTAGTTTTTTAAATCATGTTATTAAAGACAGTTTTTAATTTTGTTGGGAAATATAAAAAAAATAGCGCTGTATATGAATTCTTTTTTCTGATTTTGTTTGATTTCTTATTGCTCTCTCTTCAATAAAAATCACCAACCAATAATGTTATTTTTATTTGTAATATGAATTAATATTATTGCCATCTGCATTACGTACCCGGAGTTGCTAGAAGCGTTAGAATAACCTATAAGTGGCGCCAAATTATTGTTTTAAACTTTTAAACTTTTACGCCTAGTTTCTGAAACACTGATCATCATCGTAGAAGTCAAATAGTCAGCTGTCAAATGGCTTTTCAAATGTAATTTGATTTGCCAAAAGGATTGTTTAACTCTCTGAATTGATCATCTTAATGATCAGAATGATCAATTCTAAGAGTTTAACAATGCTATAGGCAACTCAATTACCATTTGAAAAGCGATTTGACAGTTGATTAGTTAATGTCTTCTAAGATAGCATTTTTAGAATAAACAATATATTTAAACAAAATTGTTTATTGGTTTAATTTTCTTTTAGATAAATTTTCTCCTTCTACTTACTTAAAATCATCTTTGCCCGTTTTTTATAATGTTCCAAAAACAGGAATGAAATAAAGTAATAAAACAGTTAAATTTAAGTACCCTTTTTTAAGAATATATACCCGGATATCACCGGTTACTTATATAAATATTTACAAGAGATTTTACAAAAGCTAGGTCGGACACATCATGACGCTCAACAGCCCAGAGTACATTTTTATATTTTTTTTATTTGAGGAAGTTGCAAACAAGCTGGCAGTTCAACTGATGTTAGTTGATAACCGCCTGCCCAGTGCCCATGGACATTTGCAAAACCCGTAGGGTTGCAGATGTGTTGCCACCTCTTAATAATGTTGGCCCCGGCTACCTCACTCACCAGACGAAACGCAGAAGTGCAACACTTCTACTTTACGCCGGTCTTCTGTGAGGTCGTGGTACTAACCCGGACGGACCTGCCCATTCGTGCAATACTGTTGCGTGGTCCTACCACCGTTTATATACCTGAAACCTTTGATTATATACTTGTCAAGTATATAATCAAAGCCCGAAGGTAAGGACTATACGAGGATGACATAAATAATTGAACGTCGCATTAATTAAATAATATGGAGTTTTGATAATTAAATGCAAATATTTAAATCTGATAAAATGTAGGCATTGCATTAATCCTAACTGTCAAGTCTATGTATAAATACAAAAAGTCGAATAAAAAAAATAAATCGGGGATTGTATACAATATGGATAATTACCTACCAAAATAAAAAAATATTTTGATAATATCTTCAATTAATGTAAAGATAATGTAAGTCACCAACGACTTTTATGCAGTAATGCAAGTTTGTTTCCTTGCCGTGGAGAAGTATGGCTACTGGCTAGCGATGTGCTTTTTGTTAATATAATCAGCAATGCAGACGAAGTCGCGGGTTTTAGCTACTTATTTTACAATGTACATAATGCTCTCATTAAATCTATAACACATACAATGCAATTTGTCTATTAAATGTGTTTAGCTGTAGAGGTAAAATGTCATTATTAGTTTTTTCTCTGTCTAACCTGAGGAGGACTTGAAATGGAAACATTCACTTGTTACCTTTAACGACGAATCTTTACGTCACTATTATTACATATGTACATATTACATTGCGTTTTCATTGTAGATACAAGCTCAGAGTTGACATTGATAAAGAGCAATGGTAACGTAACAATTACGAATTGCATCTTTTAATAACGCAAACGTTAAGAAGTGAGACGGGTGCGAGTCGCTGCGCACGTCATTCTTTATCATTTCGGTGGCAAACTTAACGTAGTATGGCCGTCGTATGGAAGTATTCACAGTTTTACTTCCACAAAGAATACGCGATAAACATTTCACAGAGCGAATTGCGAAAGACTTTTTTAAATAAATTTTTTACGCGAGTGAGATAAACATTTGAAATTTTCGTGTTAACTCATTGTATGTTATAGTTTTGATTACGTTCGACCTGAATATTCTTCAGTTTTCGGTTTAATTTTAACAATTACATTCAAAATGTGGTTAGTTAGTCAGCCGAATTCTGTGATCCTGGAAGTCAAAGTGGAGCCTAATGCTATTGGACAGGACCTATTGGAAAAAGTAAGTTACAAAATTAATAAACTGTTATAATTATTTACAGCGAAACGAAAGAAATTAGTGTTGGAAAGTCAGACCTTTGTTGACAACGATGTTCATGTATAGTATGGTAATGATTTACTGTATATACGCATTTATTATTTGTTTTTGCGAATGATTATTACATTTAGATAAGGCGCGTTTTATGAGCTGTATATTTATTCATCTTCTTTATATTTACGGGTAACTAATACCTGTTGCCGACTACTAAACAGAGTGAAATCATAATAGATATCGTCAAAAATCAAGACACGTTCACGATTCCATCGAGAACTCGTGGACTTTGGACGCAAGCATTGTTCACCCACCTTGGTATCTACTTTATGCAATAAGGTTACTTTATATTAAAGGAAACGAGAAGGTATTTGTCAGGCAGATCAAAACGTCCGTTTTACTTTTATATCAATTTATAAATAATTGAATCTACATTATATTTAGTTTTCTACCTTTCAACATCTTACCATGTTTATTTTATACTATATACTATAACCTATACTATACACGGAAAACTCCATAGATACATTGTATTGCAATTACGAGGTATTTATTTAAGTGAACGCTAAAATTAACTATGATTGCAAATTTCGAATATATGTACATGCCGCCAAATGTGATGCAAACTTGATGCAAACATACTATCTTATCTCTTCAAAATTTGAATCAATTATGTTTCGGCGCTAAAACTCAGCATCTGTATTGGCTTCTTTCCAGTTGACAGATTAATTCAGTAATTCAGGACATTTCTTAAGCATTTCGCTTTGGTTACATTTTATTGTTTAATGATCTGGTTCATTTAAAAATAGCCTGTTTTGTGCCCTTGTATACGTTTGTTTTTGGTATTATTGCTTTTCATTTAATTTAAGCAGTTGTGAATAAATGTAGGTACCGATTCTGATTTTAGCCGGACAAGGAATTAAAATGATATAATATGTAGTTGCAGTTCGTTTTCATAAAATACGTTTCGCTTATACTACAGTTACCTACTGAATATTTAATATATTAAATCAAATAATAATTTATGCGCAATGCTTAAACGCAACATTCATTTAACTTTGTGTAGAAAATAAACAGTGATACGTATACGATAACAAAACACCGATAAATCATTTTCAGTTTAACCAAAATTTTCTTTGTTCAGCAATTGTTGTCGAAATCTATGTAAACTTTGAATCAAGAAAGCATCTGAATAAAACATATAAAAGTGACTATAGACAATTGTCTATGTACATCTATTCCAAATAGGAAAACTTATTCATCTACAGGTAATATATTTAAGGTCGTTGTTTATTTTTATTATAAATTGGATTATGCGTAACCATCATCGGTATTGATCCAATGTTCGTGTGGTAGTGGAGCATTTACAAAATCGCTCTAACACTCGGCCTATTTGAATGAGAATAATTCGATCCGCGCTAAATCAAGGCGCGCTATTCACCGGTGATCGTAACTCGGGTCCAAAGTCCGCCCGAGCAGCTGTGAGCTCTCTACGCCATGCGACCGCCACGTGCGACCTGCGTGATCGCGCCTCACGGGCGAACGGGCGCGCTGCTTTTCAAATTCGGAACGCGGGCGTTCTTTTTTCTTGTTCTATTTTCTTTGTGGCGTTTTTTGTTTGTTTTTGCCGTTCGTTGCCCGTATTTAGGATAGTTTTTATCAAAGATTGATAAAAACTATCCTAAATGATGATACCAGAATTGAACGTTGTATCCGAAAGCTTTATGGTATCTGTCCCTATGCAAACGTATGGGACGATCTATCTGGTATTTAACTCCAAATGCGTAGATAGAGACGCGAAGTAAGGTTCTGAAGTATGATTTCAACATGAGCCCATCGCCGTAGTCTTAAAACTGAGACAGTGATTTTAACACGTCAAAAAAAAAAAAAGAAGGAAACCTATTTCTGCACGACGCACGTCTTTCAAATATAACATTACAATATACTTAAAACAGTACTCTAAAACCTTGGAAGTTTAGTGGAATAGAAGGTCTAATTTGAAGAAGGCTTTCCCTTTACAGAAAAGATTAATTTTGTATAGGGAAAGACTCTAAAATCCGCAACAATTATCGGGAAATCCCTCGAGAACGTAACCTGCGACCCGCGCCTCTGAGCACTCGCCGCTCAGCAACTCAGTTTAATTAATGTAGTCTCTCCGTCTAATAACAAAGCCTTCAAAGCGTATAACACTAAAAATTTTAATCCACAAAACTAGTTTTTCTACCACGAGAGACCATGACTGCTTATACAGGTAGGATAATAGCAATAGCCGCTTCGTAAAAAAAGAGGTCGACCTCATTTCCTAAAATGATGAAATTTCACAGAACAAAGATATCTAACTGCTTGAACAAACACACGAACCAATTTATTCTTTTACCAATTAGCGTCCATTTGAGTGTTTCTGTCAATTATAATTATTCCGATAAATTTGTCTAATTACGCGTCTGTTGTCTGTGGTACTGTCGCTGTATGCTTATTTTGGGTACCGAGAAGTTTATCTAAAGGGTAGATGTCAACACTATTGTTAATTTGATATAGTAAACTTTAACATTTCTTCACCTGTACATATTTTAATGATCCACAGCCTTTTGTGTTCATTTGAAATACGAGATAAGACCACGCGATGTACAACCACAATAGTAGGTGTTTTATATACGTTATCCTGGAATACCGCTGTTTGCACTTTTAACGATGCGTAAAATCCTTAGTAAATACATTTAATTCCTTTATTTTATTTATATACTAGCGACCCGCCCCGGCTTCGCACGTGTTTGATGTATTATACATATAAACCTTCCTCTCGAATCACATGTTGCGTAGTTTTAAAGATCTCAGCATACATATGTCTGACCAGACAGCAGGACGACTGTTTTATACAATATAGTGAAGTTTTATTGCCAACCTTATATAAAAAACTTAACAGACGGCGGACTTCATGGGAAAGCCATTCACTACCAGACAACCCAGGGTGTGGCGAGAGAAAAAATGTTATATAGGGAGAATTTAATGTTATAACTATTTTCCTATACAGATAATATAAGCAATATAATTAATTTATTTTATCTGCAATAGGAAGACATGACTATACACCCGCTCATTAATATTTCCTAGATATCTATCACTAACGTATCATTTGTTGCTTCAATCAGACAAAAGTCATTTATTATTTTCCCAATTAATGGGTAGATGACCGAAAATCGTGTATTTTTATATGCAATAAAAATCACTAGATATGAAAAATGATTGTCGTAATAATTTCATCTCTGTGATTAATAATGTTTGACGCAATCCCAATGCTAGACTTTTGGCAATGTCGTATGGGCAGTTGTTATTACTAGAACCAGGTAGCTGTCAATCTGTATTAACTAACAACTAATATGATGCTGTCCTGGTATCTTAGAATAACACAGGATAGATAGTTTTTTCAATGGGAATATTTGGCAAGCGAGCAGTCAGTTCACCTGTTGTTAAGTGATTACCTCCGCCCATGGACGTCTACGACACCTGACAGGTTGCTAAGGCGTTGCCATACATTAATATTTGGGCCCCAGTTACCTCACTCACCAAACGGAACGGGGAAGTATGCACTTCCACTTCATGCCGGTCTTCCGTGAGGCTGTGGTACTGCCACGGACGAACCTGCCCATTCGTGAAACAATAGAGGCTGCTGCGTGGCCCTACCACTTATGATAATAAAGAATCTATGAAATGTGAGTAACTAGTTCCAACGAGTCGTGATAGCTCAATGTCCGGGCGTTCGCTTTTAATTTAACATACTCGAGCAACCTCTGTTCAAATCCCGATGCCGGCATCAATGAAATTGTTAATTTTAAGTCATCGGTTATCTCCTGCTCAGCGGTGAAGGAAAACATCGTGAGGAAACCTGCATAATTTCGAATTTTTTTTTATTTCGATGTGGGACGACCCCCACTAGATGGAGTGACGACCTGTGCAAGTGTGTGGGAAGACGATGGATGCAGGTGGCTCAGTTTCGTACTTCATGGCAGTCTGTGGGGGAGGCCTATGTTCAGCAGTGGACTCAAACAGGCTGAAATGGTTATGTGTATCCTCCGACTGCCAGGTGCTAGCTCAGTCGTCATCCCTTCAATGTGATTAAATCTGTGCAATGTCTGGATTTCGTATGTGGAACAATTTAAGTCCGCACGTGGTAATTATTGAACGTGTCACGTCAGTTTAGCGTTTTTCGTGTCATTCGTGTAATATTTCGTTAAGTTTCGCAAGCGCTCGACGAGTATTGCTGAACATTATTTGACTAGGCATTGCACTATCGCACCTGCATTATTCGTGTTACAGTGCAAACGCAGCATACGAATTACCCATTTCGTTTTGTTATTATTTATTGCTAATAATGGAGTATTATAGCAAATGCCACGTCTGCTAGTTTTGGTAGGCACTGCTATTGAGTAAACATAATTTTTTATTTCGTATGTTTAATTCGTTTTAATAAAATTAACTCACGTTTAACTTACGTATTTACAGTTAAAATATATCGCGATAAAATTGTTAAGTTGGTTTTATTAAGATGTATAATATTCATGTGAATAAATGAATTTATTATAATATAATTCGGAAGAACCGAAGGGCTTGTTTCAACATAAGTACTACATCAATATATTAATATTACATTAACGAGTTTTACACATAATTATCCATAATTTAACGGAAAGTCACGAAACGTTTAATGATTGTACCTCCTAAAGTAATTCAGACGACTATTATTGGACTTTTCAATTGGTGTGGTGGACTTTGTACCGTGACGTCAGGGTTTGTCATGCGGGCACCGAACATTTTACACGCCATTGGCTTTGCCCGCGGCTCCGCACGCACGACAACGTATTTACTCAATCAACGTAACCAAATTTATTCTAAAATCTGGCCATATCATGTACTTCTCTATTTATAATTGTATAAACAAACATTGAGATGTTGTTTTTTATAATTCTGTATAT